TCCTTTATTGAGGCCATTTTTGCATGAAATGTTCCCTTGGTATCGCTAATTTTCTTGAAGAGATCTCTAGTCTTTCCCATTCTGTTGTTTTCCTCTATTTCTTTGCATTGATCACCAAGGAAGTCTTTCTTATCTCTCCTGGCTATTCTTTGGAACTCTGCATTCAAATGGGAATATCTCTCCTTTTCTCCTTTACTTTTAGCTTCTCTTCATTTCACAGCTATTTGTAAGGCCTCCTCAGACAACCGTTTTGCCTTTTTGCATTTCTTTTCCATGGGGATGGTCTTGATCCCTGTCTCCTGTACAATGTCCCAAACCTCCGTCCATAGTTCATCAGGCTCTCTGTCTATCAGAACTAGTCCCTTAAATCTATTTCTCACTTCCACTGTATATTCATAAGCGATTTGATTTAGGTCATACCTGAATGGTCTAGTGGTTATCCCTACTTTCTTCAGTTTAAGTCTGAATTTGGCAATAAGGAGTTCATGATCTGAGCCATAGTCATGTCCCTTTACCCTCCCCTATTTATAATTGTCTTAAAATTTTTCTCAGCACACATTTAGAACCACATCAAATAGTGCTATAACTTTTGCTTCATCCATTATACAGAATTTAGGAAACTCAGAAGTGGAAAAAGTGAAAGTGAAAGTTGCTCAGTCATTTCTGACTCTTTTGTGAGGCGCCCACCCGGCTCCTCTGTCCATGGAATTCTCCAGGCAAGGATACTGGAGTGGGTTGCCATGCCCTTCTCCTGGGGATCTTCCCAACCCAGGGATTGAACCTGGGTTTCCTGCACTGTGGGCAGATTCTTAAGCATCTGAGCCACCAGAGAAGCCCCTCAAAAGGAGAAGGAAAATGTATTTATCCAGATTTTTACTCTTTCTCTACTTCCTTCCTTCCTGATGTTCCAGTGTGCCTTTTTAAATCTTTCCTATGTGTATAGAGAGTTTCCTTTAGCCATTCTTTTAGAGTACTTCTGCGAGTGGCAAATTCTTTTGATTTTTCTTCATCTGAGAACGTCTTGATTTCCTCTTCATTCCTGAAGAATATTTTCCCTGGGTATAGAATTCTGGATCAGCACTTCTTTTCTGTTTCAGCATTTCAAAATGTTATGCAAATTCCTTCTTGATCTCTGTGATTTCTGATGAGAAGCCTGCTGTCATTTGAATTGTCTTTCCCTAGTGTTTCTCTCCTGTTCCTTTCAAGTTTCTGTTGTCTTCGTTTTTCAGAAATTTGACTTTGATGCATTTTGGTATGGATTTCTTTAGGTTTATCTTGTTTGGAGCTCACTCAGCTTCTTGAATCTCAGCTTATGTCTGGGAAAGGCTGTAGCCATTATTTCTCTATGTACATTTTCAGCCCTACCTATTCTCTCTTTCCAAGATCCAATAACAAAAGCATTAGATCTTTTGCTGTAGTCTCACAGTTTCCAGAGGCACTTTTTTTTTTTTCCTTTTCCTCCCAGTCTATTTTCTCTCTGTTTTTCAGATTGAGTAATTTGTATTGTTCTGTTTTCAAGCTCACTGATTCTTTTCTCTACCTCCTCCATTCTGCTATAGATTCTATCCAATGAGTTTTTAATTTTTGGCTATTGTATTTTTCAGTTTTAAATTTCCATTTTGTTTTTTTCCTATATCTTCTATTTCTTTACTGAGACTTTCTAGTTCTGTTCACACTTTCTACCTTTTCATTTGTTTCAAATGTTTCATAATTGCTCTTTGGATTATTTTATGAGGTCTGATTTAAAATATTTGTTAAATAATCCTGATATCTTGGTTTGTCATCTATTGTTGCCTTGTCTCATTCAAGTTGAGATTTCTGGTTCTTGGTATGATGAATAATTTTAGAATGAAATCTGAATATTTTGGGTATTATATTATAAAACTCTACATCTTGTTTTATTTAACCTTCTGTTTAGCTGGCTTCTTCTGATGCCACTCTGGGGCAGGTGACATGGAGGAGTATATTGTCTCATTACTACCCCAGGTTACAGTAGAAGTCTAGGTTCCCCACTCAGCCTCTATGAACACCCAAGGAAAGGACTCCTCATTACTGCTGGTAATGGTAGAAATTACTGCTCCTCACTAGGCCTGTACTTGTACTGCAGTGACTGTGCTGGGAGGGATGTCTTATTAATGCTCTCTACTTTGGCCCCCATGATATCATGAGCAGGGCAGTGGTGAAAGTCCTAACCCTCAACTAGGCCTCCTCTGAAACTACCCCAATAGACAGAAAGATACCTCCTTACTTCCAGGTATGGGTGGAAGTCCATATTCCCCATGTCTAGTACTACCTGGAAGGAATGAAAACCCCTGCTTCCCACTGGCCTCTGACACTATCCCCAGCAGAGTAGTTGAGGTACCTTCTTATACCTGGTGAAGGTAGAAATTTGGGCTCCCATCTTGATCTTTGCTGACATGAGTGAGGTAAACCACAGTTTTTTTTTGTTTGTTTTTTTTTAATGACATTTGGCTGGGGTAAAGTGGATAATGTCCAAAAGTTTTCTTTCTTGCTTGCATGTCCGTTTCCTGGCCCTCTGTACAGAGTAAAAAGCCTTTCATCTATGCTTCTTGGTGTTGTCTGGGTTGCCAGCTTCTTCAGCACTAAATCTTGAATATACACAGCTACAGTAAAACCCAGGAAACTCATAGACATGTCATTCTTCAAGTCCTGAGTTCCCTAGCTGATTCTACTTCTTCCTACTTTTCAGAGCCTTCTTATATTTGTTTTATATATAATGTCCAGAGTTTTTAGTTGTCCTTGTTGGGAAAAATAGGGAAAAGTATGTCTACTTTATCTTCCTGAATGCAGAAGTTAGTCTTTCTGTTTTTAAAAAATATTAGGTATATGTTTGCATTTTCCCAGTCTTCAGCTTCCTTTGAGAGTAAGAAAAAGAAAAGAGTTTACAGAGGATGGAAGGAATCATTATTTTATCAGAAATTTATTTTTAAAACATTTTACTCTTTATCTCATGTTTTTAATCATTTGAATATATTACCTTTAAAAAAACTGCTGAGTTCAAGGTAAATTATTTAATTCTTTTCCATACAATATTAAATGAATTTTAAAAGGGAAAAAAACTCCATAGATACAATTTTTCCTGTGTTCTTTTCCAGTTTTTTTCTGTATATACCTTTCCCATATGTATGATGTTTACACACAATACATATATATTATTCATTGTTCCACCATTTTACTTTAATAAGTATTTAATGTTGATGAATAGTCTACATACCACTTTCAAGTTGGTTTATCTTTAATCATCTTAGCCATTTCTGTGTCTCCACTTAATCACTGTTTTAAATACTGTGGTCATGAGCATTATTATATATTCAGCTTTTTTCTTCTTGCCAACTATTTTATACCAGTAAATTCAATGGAATGCCATTATTCAGTCAAAAGATCTGAACATGTTTATGGCTCTTGATCTGCATTGCCAAATTGCCTTCTTAGAGAATTTGAGCACCAGCTATAACTTGTAAAGCATCTTGTGCTAGATCCCGAGGTACTGGAAACAAATTTAAGATTAATGGAATAAAAACAAAATGGACTAGTTTGTGTTCACTTTTCATTCACACTCTCTAACCATGGAAGGTATGTTCCCTCCCTTGGCTTCAGTGGCTCACAGCCTTTTGGTTTTCCTCCTGCTACTCTGGCTTCTGAGCTTTCTCTTCAGGCCCGTTTCCTCTGCTTGTTCCTCACAAGTCTTTAGGCTTTTATCTAGATTGATCCTCTTCCTCTTACTTTCCCCCTTCTCCCTGGCTCATTTAATCCCAGGGTTTCTGCTCACATTCCTCTGTATCTGTCTTCACCCCAAGCATCTCTCCAGTGTATACCTACATCCTGTCTTCTTGGGCTACCATCCACTTGCTCATTTGTTCCTGTCAGAAATCTAGGTGTCACTCATTGTTCCCTTTTCTCCCTCACCTGCCACACCCAATAAATGACAGATCTTATCAATATCATCTTCTAAATATCTCTTTAAGACCCATTCTGCCTTTTCATCCTCACCATCCTATTCTAGTCACTGTTGGTTAGTAGGCAGATCACAACAATCTCTCAACTGACTTCCCTGGCACACAGACTCCAAATAATCTTCCTAAAGCACACTCTCTCTTTTGCCTCTGGGCTTTTAACTATCTTATTTATGAAGTCTTCCAACATCCCCCGTCTTCAACATATATATACACACAGGCAAGTATGCACACATCCCTACCTTTACATCTGCCTAGCCTGTACCAGCTAATCCATCAGGCCTCCAATTACTTATTACTAGCTTAATATAGGAGAAGGCAGTGGCAACCCAGTCCAGTACTCTTGCCTAGAAAATCCCATGGATGGAGGAGCCTGGTAGGCTGCAGTCCATGGGGTCACTAAGAGTTGGACACGATTGAGCGACTTCACTTTCACTTTTCACTTTCATGCATTGGAGAAGGAAATGGTAACCCACTCCAGTGTTCTTGCCTGGAGAATCCCAGGGACGGGGGAGCCTGGTGGGCTGCCATCTCTGGGGTCGCACAGAGTTGGACACAACTGACGTGACTTAGCAGCAGCAGCAGCAGCTTAATAAAACCACTTGTTAACTTGTCCTTATTTCTCACTAAATTGTAAGCTCCTTAGGGACAGGATTTTGTCCTATTGTAGCCCTAATGCCTGCCAAAGTGCCTGGTGCTTATTGAGTGATTTAAAAAAAAATCTTTATAAGCTATATCTGCCCAGTGCCATACTAAAAGTTGAAAAAGTGAAAAATTCACTAAACTGGTTATTTGTCTACACCTGTAGACAAAAACCTATGATGGGTCGTTTCCCTGAATATGAGTAAAAAGGATATGACTGATTTGTTTTTAAAGTGTATTTCCAAGCATAAGGCAACTGCTCCACTGTAGAATTCAGGTCAAAAATCTTGCTTGCAGCACTTTCTTCACTGATACATATTTTTCCTCCATATTCTGCTACTATAAGGAGCATTTTGATAGTTTTTTTATTATATTTGTGCTAAGTCCCGAACTAGGAGAAAATAAGCAGAAGGAAGTTCCAGAGAAGGCAGTAAAGGAGGGCACTTTTCCAAGAGAGGGACAGAAGGAGGAGGACTCACAGCAGAACCAAGAAATGACAGACGAAGAACAGCAGTTGACCTTGCAGCCTGAGGAAGTTATGAGGCTCAGAGAAGAGCTGAGCCTTATGAATCAGAGCCTTCTTCAGTCTCAGAGCTCTGGGGATACCTCAGAAGACAGTAGTGCCCAGGTAGGTGTGATAAACATGAGGTCTGACTGGCTCCATTTCCTCTGATCAGCTGTGGATAGAGGTTTAATTTTTAATATCACTGTTAGCACATATCTGTTGAACAATATCATAACCATGCCCCGAATGTTAATAAAGTAGCAATCAAAATCTCAGCTGAGCCCATTCATTGATGCATTTTATTATAAAGGGTTCTTAGGCTCCACCAATTCTCAGCAGGAAAGAATGCTGATTGATTGTCATTGTCGGCACTAGGCAAGTGGAATAGGGGACAGCAGGATTTATTTGTGCCACATTTTGTGTTCCTGGTACCTAGCTTGATACACAAAATACATTGTTTTGGTGGGGGAAAGGCCACAGACTTGAAATTCTTTGAAATATGGCCATAGCTTTTTAAAGAGGAGAGTGAAAAAGCTGGCTTAAAACTCAACATTCAAAAAACTAAGATCATGGCATCCAGTCCCATCACTTCATGGCAAATAAATGGGGAAACAATGAAAACAGTTACTAGACTATCTTCTTAGGCTCCAAAGTCATTGTGGGCGATGACTGCAGCCCTGAAATCAAAAGATGCTTGCTTCTTGGAAGAAAACCTAGACAAACCTAGACAGTGTATTAAAAAGCAGAGATATCACTTTGCCAACAAAGGTCCATATAGCCAAAGCTATGGTTTTTCCAGTAGTCATACACAGATGTGAGAGTTAGGCCATAAAGAAGGCTGAGTGCCAAAGAATTGATGCTTTCGAACTGTGGTGCTAGAGAAGACTCTTGAGAGTCCTTTGAACAGCAAGGAGACCAAACCAGTAAATCCTAAAGGAAACCAACCCTGAATATTCATTGGAAAGACTGATACTGAAGCTGAAGTTCCAATAATTGGCTGCCTGATGTGAAGAGCCAACTCATTGGAAAAGATCTTATGCTGGGAAAGATTGAGGGCAGGAGGAGAAGGGGATGACAGAGGATGAGATGGTTGGATGGCATCACTGACTCAGTGGACATGAATTTGAGCAGACTCTGGGAGATAGTGAAGGACGGGGAAGCCTTGCATGCTGCAGTCCATGGGGTTGCAAAGAGTTGGACATGATTGAGCAATGGAACAATAAACAATTGCTATTTATTAACAGTCTGCTCGCAGGAGAAATAAAAGGAGTGACTATATCTCAATTCTTTTACCTCAGTTCTACTGATTCTCTCTTGTACAAATTAAAATTTCCCTACACACACCTTTCTAGGAATTATTTTGAGATCCACAGGAGTATCTCAAAAGTAAACCAACTCATAAGTAAACCAACTTCAAAAAACTGATAATATACATTTGAGGAGTGATTAAGTATACATTTAGAAAACAAGAAAGAAAGAAAGTGAAAGTAAGAAAGTGAAGTCTCTCAGTTGTGTCCGACTCTTTGTGACCCCATGGACTGTAGGCTTCTCTGTCCATGGGATTTCCCGGGCAAGAATACTGGAGTGGGTTGCCATTTCCTTTTCGAGGAGATCTTCCCATCCAAGGGCTTGAACCTGGATCTCCCACTTTGTAGACAGACGCTTTACTGCCTGAGCCACCAGGGACGTCCAAGAAAACGAGCGTGTTAAGAAAAGAAGTCAAAAGCATACTTGAAAAGAGGTTTGGCAATAGAGTGAAAAACAGTCAAGTCATCGTAAACCAGGGAAATGTATACCTGCAACGGAGACTCAGATACATTTGAATGAGAAGGAAGTCACTGGATTTGTTCATAAGACCACAAGGAAGTATGACATCACATAGTCAAAAAGAAGTTGAATTTTCATACCCAGACAATCCTTTTATTGGACAGTGGGCCAGTGTAGGAGGCCTGAGTGGAGGCCGAACACTGTGGTCACAAAGATGATTAAAGTTTACTTATGAGCTTAAAATGATCAGTGAACTTTTAGAATAATAAAATCTAGAATATGAGAACTAACACCTTGGTTAATTTATTCAGTTCAGTTCAGTTGTATCTGAACTCTTTGTGACTCCGTGGACTGCAGCACACCAGGCTTCCCTGTCCATCATCAACTCCCAGAGCTTGCTCATGTCCATTGAGTAGGTGAGGCCATCCAACCATCTTATCCTCTGTCGCCCCCTTCTCCTCCCGCCTTCAGTCTTTCCCAGCATCAGGGTCTTTTCCAAGGAGTCAGTTTCTCGCATCAGATGGCCAAAGTATTGGAGTTTCAGCTTCAGCATCAGTCCTTCCAATGAATATTCATGATTGATTTCCTTTAGGAGTCATTGGTTGGATCTCCTTGCAGTCCAAGGAACTCTCAAGAGTCTTCTCCAACACCACAGTTCAAAAGCATCAATTCTTCAGCGCTCAGCCTTCTTTATGGTCCAACTCTCACATCCTTACCTGACTACTGGAAAAACTATAGCTTTGACTAGACGGACCTTTGTCAGTAAAGTAATGTCTCTGCTTTTTAATATGCTGTCTAGGTTTGTCATAGCTTTTCCTCCAAGGAGCAAGTGTCTCTTAATTTCATGGCTGCAGTCATCATTTGCAGTGATTTTGGGGCCCCCCAAAAAATAAAGTCTGTCACTGCTTCCATTGTTTCCCCATCTATTTGCCATGAAGTTTAATTTATTAATTTTCTCTAATTTACCCTTTCCCATTACTTGAAGAATCTTTTCTCAATACTTGGTGGGGGTGTGTGTGAAAAACTATTAAATGTATAAGAATTCTATGAGAAATCTGGGGAGATAGACATTTTGTGAATGAAGAAATCTATATACCGTATAGCCACAGAAACAGTAATTTTCTTCCATAACAGTGAATCTGGTATTGAAAGAAGTGCAAGTTTTTCTTATTCATTTATTCAACCAGTATTAACTGAGTATCTGTGATGTGCCAGGCCCCATGTTAAGGTACATACAATAGTAAATGAGGTAGATATGGGCCTCATGGGAAAAAAATAACGTATTTGTGTTTTAAGATTCACATTTCCCAAAACATTCACACACATAATACTTTATCTACTTCTTTAAGCAAGCAAGGAAGAAAATACATTTTTAATATTTACCATTTTTTAAATTATTTTTGTTTGTTTGTTTGCCTACACTGGTCTTCATTGCAGCATGCAGCCTCTCTAGTTGCAATATGTGGAATCTTAGTTCCTCAACCAGGGATCGAACCTGGGCCCCCTGTATTGGGAGCATGGAGTCTTATTCACTGAACTACCGGTAAAGTCCCAGAAAATATATTTTAGTCAGATTTTTGTCTACAGTGCACTGTGCAATGATAATTTCAGAACCTCTTTCTGTGTATATAGCTCTTTGATCATATGATAGCTATAGATTGTTCTACTTTTTAGTTCTTGTGTGTGTGTGTGTGTGGTTTTTAGACTTCACTGATGTTGCAAGATTATGGTGCTGGTACCTTGCTACTTTCCATGTGTGCTGCAGTTTATTAATCTCATAACATGCAAATTTAGGTAGCTATAAACACCTAAACTTTAAAGAATGCTTATAAATGGCAAATACACAGTAAAAAAATTGTGAGCGTTTCTATTATGAGTAAGTATGTGAGCTATATTGCTCATATGTCTTTTGTGACATCATTTGTGGCTGCTAATGACCTTTAGGGCTTAATTTCTGTTGTTCAACAGTATTCCAGGTGAGGTTGCAAGAGCTGAGTTCTAGATATTACTTTCCCACTATTCTTGAAACACATTTGAACCACTGTTAATTGTCTTAATTTTGTAGATTTAATATGTAGTTTAGCATTTTTCACTATGCCCTAGGCACCGTACTTAATACTCTGTGTGTATTAAGCAATACAATGAGGCAGAAATATTATTGTTGCCACTTTATAAATGAAGAAACTGAGGCTTTAGAGAGGTTAAATAATTGGCCTAGTATGACACTTTGTGGTGGAACCTGGGTCTGTCTCCATTACAGCCTGACCTTTTAACTGTTTTGTCATCTGCTTCCTCTTGCTGACAGACTCACAGAAAGCATATAGTTCTCACATCGAGCTAATTTTCTAAGGAAGGCTAGCAAGCTGGCTCCCAAAAGCCTTCCCAAGGTGTCTGTCTTAGATTGAAAATAAAAGTGTTAGTCACTCAGTCATGTCTGAATCTTTTCGATCCCATGGACTGTAGCCTGTCAGGCTCCTCTGTCCATGGAATTTTTCAGGCAATAATATTGGAGTGAAAAAAAAAAAAAAAGAATACTGGAGTGGGTAGCCATTCCCTTTTCCAGGGGAACTTCCCGACCCAAAGTTCGACCCAGGTCTCCTGCATTGCCGGCAGATTCTTTACCATCTGAGCCACCAAGGAAACCCCTCTCTTAGATTATTGTGGTGAATTTATCTGGAATTAACCCTTAGGCTTGCCCTCCTCAAAACTTTAATGTAATAGCTCCCCTAGAATAGATCTGAGTCGTGGGGATACATTTACATTAAACCAAATCTTCTAGACTACTAGATAAAATTAGAATGTCCATCAGTTATTCTTCTGTAACAGTGAATAAATATCACTTGACCATGTTTAGATAACAGTGCATTTATCCATAGCAAGCTAACTAGGGATCTTAGACACTTGCAGCTCTACAAGTTGGATCCAGATTGCCTTTTTGACTAACCCAAGACCAGAACCAAAAGGCTAACAAGGACTTGGGGAATTCACTGTGGCAATTCTGTTATAGCAAGATAAACTAGAATAATGATGTGACCTTATCAGAAAGTCTTGAACAGGAAACACACTGGACCAGGACTCAGGAAACAGATAGTATCTTATCAATTGAACTGAATAAGGTCAAATTCTTGATCTACTCAGCACGCCTATATGTGCCTACCTTTTAGAAAATCTAAATAATTCCTCCTTTGGTCACGAGTTTTATTGTGCCAGAGAGGCCTGGCAGGAGAGTGTGTTGTTCAAAAGTAACTGAAGGGGAATCATCATGGAGTAAAAGGAAAGCGATAAGGAAGCCTAGGAATTTAGTATCTCTTGCTAAATATCCTCTTTCCCTTTACCAACAGACACTGCACACAAGCAAATGTGTGCACAGGCACATGCACACACGCACATAGCTTCCACACACACATTATTCACACTCCTTCATATACTGATAGTGTGAACTCCCTGTATTTTTAAATTTTATTTCTTTCTTTATTTTTGACTGTGTTGGGTCTTCGTTGCTGTGAGGGCTTGTCTAGGTTGTGGCAAGTAGGGGATACACTCTGGTGGTGTGCGGGTTCCTCATGCAGTGGCTTCTCTTGCTGAGGAACTCGGGCTCTAGGCTGTGTGGGCTTCAGTAGTCGTGGCCTCCGGGTTCTAGAGCACAGGCTCAATAGCTGCTCCAGGCATGTGGGATCTTCTCAGATCAGAGGTTGAACCTGTGTCTCCTGCAGTGGCAGGCAGATTCCTTACTTCTGAGCCACCAGGGAAGCCCTGTACTCCCTGTTTAAAGCATGTTTTGCTCTAAAACTGTCCACACTTCTGTTCCCCTTCATTAATGTGAAAAATAAGAAACTTAATTTTCTATTCTTAATTGCTTTTGTTCATATAACTTCTTCAGTATTTTCACTCTGATTCTGTTCCCCTTCATTAATGTGAAAAATAAGAAACTTAATTTTCTATTCTTAATTGCTTTTGTTCATATAACTTCTTCAGTATTTTCACTCTGAGTTAAATTATATGAATGTGTACAACTAGCCACACATGTAAAAAGAATAATTGGTTACAGTGAAGCTAACTCCAAAAACATTTACGTGTGACTAATCACATTCTGACAGCTGGAACCCATGTTTTACCAACATTCTTTCAAATTGTCCATGTTTCCCTGGTAAAATGTTTCTTTTAGTATCCATCATCTGGAGAAAAACTGAAATACCAGCAAGAGGAGGTACAACAACTTCACCAGAATTTGCACCGGCTCCAGACTCTATGCAGTTCAGCAGAAAAAGAGCTTCGATATGAGCGAGGAAAGAACTACGACTTAAAGAAACATAATAGCTTACTTCAGGAAGAAAGCATTAAGGTAATTCAAGTGGGGGATCCTTCATTTAAGGGTCTCAATTGCTTGAAGGAATCTAACTTCTGCAACTTGGTAATTCATGATTGAGTCCCCAGATGGGTAGACAGCATCAGCGATCTGGTAACGCCATCCTTCAACTTCTCTTTACCAAGTAGATGCACACTTCAGTTGTTTCTCTGCTGCTGAAAGGTTGTGTGTGCTGTAAATGTGAAAAACTTTTAAGTTTTTTGAAATCATTACCTAGGACATTTAGCACTTAATCATTTCGATGACCTGAACCAAATCTCTGGTAGCACTTCCCTGGTTCTCTCTCTGGACATATTTATTCCTAGTAGGTGCATTCATTTTTTAAAAGATTATTTTTATGTGGACCATTTAAAATGTCTTTATTGAATTTGTTACAGTATTGCTTCTGTTTTACTTTTGGTTTTTTTGGCCCCAAGGCATGTAGGATCTTAGCTTCTCCACCAGAGATCGAACCTGTACTCTCTGCATTGGAAGGCAAAGTCTTAACCACTGGACCTCCAGGGAAGCCCCTAGGTGCATTCATTATTATTGGTTGAATCAAATATCGACTGCCCCAAGGTACAAACCGTGAGAGAGCAAAGTTGTTCTTCTTGACGTGAGTGTATCAAAAAGTTAGAGGAACATCCCCCAAACTTGCTTATTTTACAGTGATCTGTATAGAACTGCCACCCACAGATTCATCTAAATTTTATGAACTACAAAATGTTCAGACTGAACCACCATGTAAAATGGTATTTTCTTTTAATTATGGTTCAATTCTGTAAACATATATTAGGGACCTAGTTTCTGTAAGCCCCTATTTAAGATTCTGGAGTTCAACATTCAACAAATATTTATTGAGCATCAGTCTTAACACAAGGCAGGCCATCTCGTCAATACTGAGGATTTAATGATAGGCAAAATTGACACAATTCTTATCCCCTGGTGCAGGGGTCAGCAAACTTTGGCCTATAGGTAAAATCCATAGGCAGGATTTGACTTTCCTTTTATTTCTGTAAATAAAGTTTTATTGGCACACAGCATACCTGTTCTTTCACATATTGATGGCTGCCTTTGCACTACAACAGCAAATATGAGTAGTTCTGACAAGAGACCATGTGGCCCACAGAGGCTAAAATATTTACTGTCTGGCTCTTTATCTAAAAAGCTTGCCACCCCTCATGTGGCAGGATCAATGACCTTATTTAAAAAGTGACATAAAAATGGATTAAGAAAGGTTCCTACTTTTTAGGAGCTCACAGTCTAGTAGGGGTCATATAGAGGAAAACAGTTATTTGTCTCAAACTTCTAGAAAAGCCCTTCTAGAGAGGTCTAGAATTCCAGGATTGTTTGGATACACTTCTTCCCTATCCTCTTCATTCACAGTTTTTAGAACACTAAATATCATATTCTCTCAAGCCTTTGTAGTTTGAAATAAAATTCCAAATCTTTCTCACATTTCAAGACAGCCTTTTACTTTTCCCTTCAAACACCTCTCTTAGATCATTTTAATTGTCTACTCTGACTACATCTTTGTCAAGGTACAATGACCAGAACAACAGATCATAACATCTTAAATATGGTTGGCACTCTATAAATATCAGTATTTGTTGATTAATGAACAGGTCCTTCAGGGATGGGTAAATGATAGCTTGATAAAAGGAGAAGGTATTTTTTCTTGTTTTGAATCTCCTTCATGGTAGGGTAAAATTTTGACCATTTCATTGATAAGACTTCGGTCTTTGGGCTGATGCCTTAGCTCAGGCACCTAAGCAGAGTTATATGCAATAGCCAACTACCTTATAGTGACAGTTTGTCCACTTTATCTATTATAAACCTCCCGGTCCTAAAGGGTCAGCATTTTATGGATGAGAAAATTGTTCAAGGTGGCAAAGCTGACAAATTGCAGAGTCAGAATTTAGTACCAGGCCTATTTCTGTCTTTCCCTCTCTTCAGTTTGGGGCACTTTAGAAACTCAGCTTTGCAAACTTAGAACTTTAAAAATCCACTCAGAGATGTTTGTACTCTGGGCCTCTGGCTAATATTCGGCATACTTATAAGACTGTCTAAGGAACCAGAATGCAACTGTGTTGCTTTTAAACCATTTTATTGTGAAATGTACCACTCAGAAGGCTTCCCCGGTGGCTCAGAAATAAAGAATCTGCCTGCAATGCAGGAGATATGGGTTCGATCCCTGGGTTGGGAAGATCCCCTGGAGAAGGGAGTGGCAACCCACTCCAGTATTCTTGCCTGGAGAATCCCATGGATGGAGGAGCCTGGCGGGCTACAGTCCATGGGGTCGCAAAGAGTCAGACACGACTGGGCATGAGCACACATGCACATACCACTCAGGAAGTACAGTTCAACTTCTGCTTTTAAAAGAACACTGGCTGCAGTGTGGCTAACAGATTAGAAGGGACTAAAAGTGGAGGTGGTGCAACCAGTGCTATTGCTGTGGTCCAGGCTGGAGATGATGATCTAGCAGAGGTGGTGACACAAATGACAGAAACAGACGCGAGGTGTGTTGTAGGGGCAGAGTGGTAGCACGTGCTGAATAGACGTACGATGGTGGAAAAGGAAGGCTTGAGGATGACTCTCAGGTCAGTAGCCTGAACAAAAGTTTGGGTGGTGGCATCCTTTACTGAAATCAGGGAGACTGAGAGGACAGTTTTGGAGATATGGGCAGAACCCAGGTGTTCCACTTTGGCATATATTGGCCTAAATGTGGTATTTTTAAATCATGAGAATGAATCTAGAGAGAGAATGAGTCACTTACAGGGAAGGCCTAGAACGGTCCACTAATATTTAGAAGTTGAATTCACTAGAATAGTCTACGAAAGCAACCAAGAAGCAACAGCAGTGGTAAATGAAAACCAGGAGAGGTGGGTATCACAGACTAAGAGAGGAGAACTTTCTGAGATGGAGGAAGGAACTGCTACTAACAGGTCAGTTGCCCGCGGGACTGAAATTCTGGCAATGGAAAAGTCAGTAGTGCCCTTAGCAAAATTAATTTTGTGAAGTAGTGGGATTGAAAGCCAGCTTGGAGTAGACTTGGGGGGGGGGGGGGAAGGATGGAAACTATTTAGACCACGCATGTATAGAAACTCTTAGGAAAATTCCTTTGTCAAGCTGCCAGCAGCTCCAGAGAGGTAACCAGCCACATGACATTGGTATTTGCCAGCTCTTGGGGGAGACTACACTTCTTTGAAAGCTGCTTATTCTGGCTCACATTCACATTCATCCCATGCTTATTTTTGTCACTTGTCTTTATTACCCACCTCTAGATCAAAATTGAACTCAAGCAGGCCCAGGAAAAGTTATTAGACAGCTCAAAGATGTGCTGTTCACTCACGGCTGAGTGGAAGCACTGTCAGCAGAAAATGAGGGAGCTGGAGCTGGAAGTACTTAAACAGGCTCAGAGCATTAAATCACAGAACAACCTACAGGAAATGCTGGCTCAGGAGAAATCTAAAGTTGCTGATGCAGAGGACAAGGTAATTATCCTCACACTTAGTAAATGTCATGCCCTGGACACTACTACTGAAGTTCTGTTTCCCTGAGGGTTTAGGAAATAGCTACAGTGCGAATGATAAAATTCTAGGGGTTTTTCACTCTCCCATGCTTTCCTCTTCTGATGTCGCCTGTTCCTATGGTTCCAGTAAATCTGAGATAAGATTACTTTCACTATATACTTTCAAATTTTAAAGGACTTAGTCTCCTGTCACTTGGATTGTCTATGATTTTTAGTTTGTAATTTTTGGAGGGATAGGTGTTAAGAAATGAACCCTTTTGAAATGTCACCCCTGCATTTTAGCCTGCCTAACACCAGGTGGCAGTAGTATGCAACACTTGCACATTTTCTTGGTGGGTTTGTCTGAGAGTCAGAGCTCATGTAAAAAAATAAATCATTTCATCAAACCACATAAAGCAAACATCAAAATTAGATGATAGCAATCTGCCTTAAACTCAAAAACTCAATGTTGAGCTAAAGAAGCCAGCACAAAAGAGTTCATACTATGTAATTTCATTTATATGAGGTTTAAGAATAGACAAAACTAAGCTATGGTAATAGAATAGTGGATATCCTTATGAGGGGAATATGAGGAAATTGTCTATGGTGCTGGAAGGATTCTTTATCTTGGTCTAAAGTGGTGGTTATGTAAGTAAAACTTCACTTGAGTATGTGCAAGTTATCGACATATTGTCATATGTATGTTATTACTCCATTAAAAAAGTAACTGGCAAATTGATAAAGATTAGTATAATTTTGAAATTTAGACAATATAAATATTGGTACTGGATTTTGTGCAACAGGATCACATATTCTGACTGCAGTTGGAAGAGTAAACTAGTATAGACACTTCAGAAAGCAATTTGGCATTAGTATCTAGTTAAGTTAAAGTTGTATATATACCATACAACCAACCCAACACTTCTACTACTAGGCATAAAAACTAGGGAAATTCTGCTGCATTCTGCTGCACACGTGTATCAGGAGGCAACATGAGTGCTCAATCACTTCAGTCATGTCCGACTTTTTGCAATTCCATGGACTGTAGCCCTCTTGGTTCTTCTGTCCATGGGATTTTCCAGGCAAAAATACTGGAGTGGCTTACGATTTCCTCTTCCAGAGGATCTTCCCAACCCAGGGATCAAACCCAAGTCTCCTGTGTCTCCTGCATTGAAGGCAGATTCTTTACCACTGAGTCACCTGGGAAGCCCCAGTATTTGTTTATACAAACATAAATCAATCTCTAGAAGGGTGGACAAGAAACTAATACCAGTGATTACCTATTTGGAGGAGGAAAACTGGAAAGAAGACAATATAAGATTGGAAAGGAGATTTTGTAGCTTAGTTTACCCACACACACTAAATCATGTGAACCTATTGCATATTGCAACAATTAAGTAATTTAATTTTAAAATTAAATCTAGTCACACTCTTCAGATGAGATTTTTATGTTAGTACTACTGTTTGCTATCCATATGGTATTTCCCTAATTGGAAAATAAGTCACACTTAAAGTTTTATTTGTAAATTCTTTTCACTTAAGATTTTGGATCTGCAGCAGAAGTTAGAACATGCTCATAAAGTCAATCTGACAGACACTTGTATTTTGGAAAAGAAGCAATTAGAGGAAAGGATAAAAGAAGCAATAGAAAATGAAGCTAAAATAAAGCAACAGTATCAGGAAGAACAACAGAAGAGGTAAGAAGAGCAAAGACATCATTTTTCTGTGGGCTAACCACCCCTGAGTTTACGAGCAGTGTCAATTTACCACCGCATTTCCTGTGTCCCCACTGAAGTAAACTCAATTACAAAACTGTATATATGTGTGTGTGTGTGTGTGTGTGTGTGTGTGTGTGTGTGTGCATGTTAAGTGGCTTCAATCGTGTCCAACTCTTTGTGACCCTATGGACTGTAGCCTGCCAGGCTTCTCTGTCCATGGGATTCTCTAGGCAAGAATACTGGAGTGGGTTGCCATGCCCTCCTCCAGGGCATCTTCCCAGCCCAGGGATTGAACCAGTATCTCTTATATCTCCTGCTTTGGTAGATGGGTTCTTTACTACTAGCGCCACCTGGGAAGCCCCACATCTATACATGGTGATATATGTGTGTGTGTGTGTATGTACCACTATATTCTGATGGTTTATTTTCTTGCTTGTCTTTCATACTAGAGTGTGGAATTCTCAAGGGCAGGGATTATTTCTTGTTCTGGAACATGCTTGGTACACCAGTAAATCTTCTTGAATGAATGGATTATCTATGAAATATGATCCCCTGGGATCTGCTTTTCTAATTCTTAACACGATTGGCACAAAATGCAGAATAGAATGCGGTTGCTGTTTTGTATTTATCAGCTGATTTTCTTTAAAGAAGATCCAAGTACTTTATAGGCATCTTAATCATTCACATGCTGATAGTAGTTAAGAGCTGTCATGTTTTTTTCTAGAAGGGTTTTGATTATTATTAGGATTCTTACTAAAATGATCTTATATACCCTAAACTTCAAGTCATGGGCATATTGTCATATGTATGTTACTACTCCATAAAAAATGTAACTGGCAAAATTGATAAAGATTAGTAAAATTTTAAAATTTAGACAATATAAATATTGGCACTTCTGTGGCACTCAGAACATGTGTCTTAAGAAACTACTCAGTAGTTTTAACTACTGAAAAGATATATAGCCATTCACATAAATTGTTAAGCTCAGAAGCTTTACTTTCAGCTCTAATTGAAACCTCTAGTATAAGACTTCCCTGGAGGTAACAATAGTTAAGACTCCATGTTTCCACTGCAGGGGTCGCAGGTTAGATCCCTGGTCTGGGAACGAAGATCCCACATGCTACTCCTCAGCACAGTTCAAAAAGAAAAGAAACCTCTAGCATAGAGCCCGACACTCAGTAGGTGCTTAGCAAATATGTTGTAAATAAATGAATGTTTGAGTGAATAGTGAATTCGCTCAGGTCCAATAGAAAAATACTTGTCTCACTGCCACTTCTACCAAGATGACACCCTTCTCCTGTTCTAATACAGCTAGTTCCTGAATAAACTACAATAAGCACACCTTTTAAACCACTGCTCACAAAGTTAGAGAAAGCCCTAGGACAAACATAGAATGAGGCAAAACAAAAATAATGAATGGTAAACAAACTTCTAAGTCAAGGGACAAATAGCACGATCAGCTCCAGGTTCAAGAGAACCCGAGGAAGTTTGCCACAGGTGTGTGTGCTCACTTGCTCAGTCGTGTCTGATTCTGTGCAACCCTGTGAGCTGTAGCCCGCCCAGCTCCTCTGTCCATAGACTTTCCCAGGCAAGAATCCTGGAGTGGGTTGCCATTTCCTACTCCAGGGAATCTTCTTGACCTAGGGATTGAACCTTCCTCTCTTGGGTCTCCTGCATTGGTAGGTGGATTTTTTTTTACTGCTATGCCACCTGGGAAGCCCTGTAAAATACATGTAGTTTACAGTAATTTTAAAATTTCTCTTTGACACCTACTGTTTAAATAGAAATATGTTTAATATCCAAATATTGTGCTTTTCCATCTATTTTTCTGTTGTGGATTTATGGTTTCATAATATTAAATAGTCATATAGCATTTTGTTACATAGCTATATCATAATTTGTATAAAATGTTTTTAGACTTTTTGCTGATATAAAATATTTTGTAATTAATATCTTGACACATGGGGCTTCCCTGGTGGCTCAACAGTAAAGGATCCACCTGCCAATGCAGGAGACGAGAGTTAGATCCCTGGGTCAGGAAGATCCCATGGAGAAATGGCAGCCCACTGCAGCCTTGCTTGGCAACTCCCGCTGACAGAGGAGCCTGGCGGGCTGCAGTCCGCAGGGTCACAGGGAGTCGGACACATCTCAGCGACTTCACCACCACCACCACCATCCTGACACGTTAAGACTTTGCAACTATAAGGAAGTATGAGAAGGGTTATACTAAGGGAGATTTAGTATGCTCAGGTAACACACAGCAGGGACACCTAGTTAGGTCCAGGAAGCTCAAGAAAGCCTTCCTCAAAGAAAGCTATGTAAGTTGAGAGTAAAGTAGTTGTTACAGGAAAGCTAAGTAGAAAATACCAGATAAAGGAAGACCTGGAAGAGGATAGGGACAAGGCTGGAGTTGCAGGGGATTAATAAATGTGGAAGATGACTTGTTTGGGGAAGTTAAAAATTTTCATTTTGCCTGGAACAAAATGTTTGGGGGTAGAGGAAGTGGCAAGAAAATGGAGCTAGAAAGGTAAGTTAGCTCACAAGTCATATTAAAGAATTTGGGGGAATTCCCTGGTGGTCCAGTAGTTAGAACTCCATGCTTTCACTGCCAAGGACCCAGGTTCAATCCCTGGTTGGAGAACTAAGATCCCACAAGTCCAAAAAAGAATTTGGACTTTTTCTTAAGAGTGAAGGAGTGTTAACACATGTGCATTAGTATCAAGTGTTTGTAACTGACAGCCGTTTATTAAAGCAAGGAGATGAAGGGATTCAACTCATAAAGCAGTGTGGACAAGCACAAGGACTATAGAATTCAGAATGAGAGCCCTGCCTCCCTCTTGCTGTGGCTGTGCAACCTGGAGCAAGTTAATTAAGCCTCTCAGTGCCGCAGCTTCCTCTGTGTTGTTGTTGTTCAGTCACTAAGTTGTGCCCTACTCTTTGTGACCCCATGGACTGCAGCATACCAGGCCTCCCTGTCGTTCACTATCTTCTGGAGTTTGCCCAAGTTCATGTCCATTGAGTTGGTGATGCTATCCAACCTTCTCATCCTGTGCCACCCTCTTCTCCTTTTTGCCTTCAGTCTTTCCTAGCATCAGGGTCTTTTCCAATGAGTTGGTTGTTGGCGAGTTCCCTTCTCTGTGAAATAAGAACAGTTATTTCTTCTTAGGGTAGTTTTCGGGAAAGAGAAAACTAAGAAAAGCTTCCATCACAAAGGAGGTTGCTCTGATGTTGGCCCATTACGGACCACTACTTTATCTCACTGAACAAAAAAATTCCCCTGTGCCCAGTCTAACAATTTTAGGTCAAAGAGTTTCTTTTGCAAAGCTTTGCAATTCACAGTGTGATTTAATATACATTAATTGCCTTAAGGAAACTCCTAGATCAGAATATGAATGAGCTACAGAAGCAAGTGAAAATCTTACAGGAAAAAGAGAGTCTACTGGAAATGACCAGTTCTCAGCAACAAATCAAACTTCAGCAACAAAAGGCCCAACTTAAAGAACTGGAAAATGAAAAAAGAAAATCTGATGAGGTAAGAAGACAAATAGGTATGCTTCTCAGTTTTCCTATTCCCTTAGACCTAAGTAATAGTTAATAAGAGCTAATAATTCTTGAATGCCTAGCACTTTACCCATTAAGTTTAGTTAGGATTCAGACAGGGAAGCAGAATCTACTCTAGATATTTCAAGCAAGAAGGAATTTGACACAGGGAATAACATGCTTACAAAACTGTTGGAAGGGAGAGGTAGGGGTGAGTAGGTCAGAAAGAACTGTTGCTAGCTTTCAATAAATCCAGAAGTTCAGAAACCACAGGGAAACCAACCCTTGTAGGAGATTAGCAGGAACTCTCCCAAAGCCCTTTCAAAAGTTTCCCCCTTTGATCTACCTGATAGTGTTACCAGAAACTGGATTTGCCTCTTGGGTGTCAAGCCAAGAGACACAGCCAAGTCAATAGATCAGGAGAAGAAAGGATCTATTTGCAGCAAGTGAAAACACCAGGGATCTTTCCCAAAGCAGTGTCTCCTCAAACATCAAAATTGGGAAGGTTTTAAGCTAAGGATACATGCATATTCATGAAGAAGCCTGAGCAAAGGAGAATTCAGCATAGAATTGGGGCAGAGGTCCAGAGTCCAGGCTTTAGTTGATAGAAGTCATGAGGGTCAACATCATCCTTCTGTCCTCCACCTAAGTGGGGGCCTTAGTTCCTGCCGAACTCAAAGACATGTATCAGATAGCTATATATTTCCCTTGAGGAGGAACTAGGGCTAATTTTATCACTGAACTATTGTTTCTTGACTGCTTTTGCTTTTTCCTGCACTTCTTCACGTCCCTTAAAATCATTAACTACTGAGACCTGTTCAGGGACAAGCATTGTGGCCAGGTTTAGATCACAAAATGGATTAAGCCAAAAATGTCTTCTCTTATATCGAGAAATCATGCCTGGTTCTTTCTCTGGAGACTCCCTACCCTGGCTGCTTACAGCAGCACAAGAGGAGCATGGTGGCCTCTCCTGTGCTTTCCCCCGTGCTCTCCAAACTGTGTGCAGGTGCCTCCGAGTTGCAGAAACCGAACGGAACTCTGCTGACTACTTTTGGGCCTTTTATGATTGGCCTTGGAACTGTCTGGCACCTGTAGGTGTATCACTTACCTAATTACAGTGAGCATATAATGAAGCTCAAGGTCTAGCGGAAATTATATCTTCTGCCATCTTGACCCTAATAGTTTCAATCAGTTTTTGTCATATCTTCAACAGTTATGTCATTCTTTTAAAGGTGGTGCTCTGCTTCCTGTTTCATTGATTCACTTAACTTCTGAACGTCCCAGCAGCATCTGTGGTCATTTATGGATAATGTAATTGCTGCTTCTTCAGTCTCAATCCACATGGATATACTAACTTTAAAACTTATTATAAATTAGCTACCAATAATACAATAAATTAACTACCGATAAACACGTTTTGGGATATAGGATTGAAAAGCCATTCCTATTCCAGCTCTTGGTTTCTTTCCCATATTCTGGCTCTGAGAGAGACCACAGCATGTATCAATCACTGGTTGAAAGTTTAGACATCATCTTATAGGACAACACAGAACCTCAAAAGATGTTACCTGGCCAGCATCATACCTACATCTTCCATAGGTCTTTTCACTGTTTTGCAGGTTTCTTTTTCTTTTTTTTTCCTGGATAGTAGGATATATGATGAGAGCAATGACTGAGACTTTGTTTCATCTCTCTTACTTTAAAATGATTTTCTTGTTCAGGAACTATGTTGAGTAGTAGTATATCATGACAGGAAATAAAGAATTTGGAAAGCCCACAGATGGTAGTCCTGGCAAAAGCACTATGGACATAGAAAGAAAATCCAGGTCTAAAATGAGTGTCTTTTTCACTGAGGACGAATTGTTGTTCTCTCCATAGTGGAAGAGATCCAGTATAATAAATCCGGTGACTGTTGGGCCCACTGCCTAGTAGATGGTCCCATATCAGTAGCTCAGCATTGATCTTTGCTTTTGGCAAGTTGAGTAGATTAGCCTTGGTGACCCCTTGTCCACTTTGTACATGAGCCCAAGTGAGTGAGCACATAAAGGATAGAAAAAGAGGCTAAGTGACATCTACAGAATGTACTGTTTTTTTCCGCTTGATTATTGAAGGCCACCTCTTCTGTGGAAGCCCTCTGCTGTGGAAAAGCCCATGAGGCACGTATATGTTCACACTCTAGGCTTGTGCTGTCTAATATTGTGTCAACTAGCCACTGTGGCTATCTAAATTTATATTAAATTGAAATTTTAGTTCCTGAGACATACTAGGCACGTTTCATGTGCTCAGTAGCTGCACGTAGCTAGTGACCACCCTGCTGGAGAGTGCAGGCACAGGACACTTCCACCAGTAGGACACATGTCATCAGTCTTCCAATATTATTCTTTCCAAATCCCTGATCATCTGGCCAAACTATTAGAAACTTTCTATGAGTTAGCATCGGTCCATGCTTCTGGACATCTCTCTTTCTGGGCAAAGTGAACATAAACTTTGCCCACTGAGATTTCCCTTCCCACTGGTCTGAAGGACCACCCCTCAGTTGGAGCTATCAGGCCTCAGCAGCCCTATTTCAAGTGGTTGCCATATTTTGTACAGAATCATAAGTACATAAGGCCCAAATTAATCTTTCTCGGCTAACTGGTAATACATAACACCCCGTGAGGCCATAGGTTTGGGTTGAGAGAGCTGGTGATACAATAGAGGTAAGTATCACTTGCTCATGCAGCTTGCTCAGTATTTTCCATAGCAGTTCTGTTTGAGGACGGAGTACTACTGCACATGCCCAACTCAATGCTCAGTGGATAATAGAACACCTCATTTCAGGAAGGGCAGCTCAGGTTACTCAACCCTTTCTTTCTCGTGGCCAACCATGAGAGATAATTGAGAGGAGAGATGACTCTCCTCCCAAATCCTAAGATTAAATTAAAGGTTTCCAGAGGCTCTGTGTTGTTTCCTCCTCTGCCACAGAAACTTGGGGCAAATTTGGGTCTGCTGGATCATAAAGCCCAAATGGCAGAGCAGTCTGCACCACAGCCTGGCATAGCGCAGCTCTTTGTCTTGCTTTGGGCACCACTAAAACCATACAACCTTGATGGTTGCTTGATAAATGGGCTGAAGGAACAAAGGTGGTATAATTTGATTCTAGACTCAGAAGAGGCTTTCTAAGAACTTGGCCTTTTCTATCATCAATAGCCCTCATGCCTCAGGTTGGAAAGCCAGCAAGAAGAATCTGCTCTTCCATATTGTCTAAGCTGACTGCACACTCAAGAACTGGGAAATTCACAAACTGAGGAGCTTCATAAACCCACTAGACCCATCATGAAACCTATACTGAGCCAATCCTTCCTCAAGTCTCCACTCTGAATTCTGAACCTCAGTTGCATTTTGGGCTCCATGGTGCTAGTGCTGATGCAGAACCACTAGACTGTATGGAAATCCCCCCAAATCTACATAATCCCCTTTCTCCAATGCCCTGTCACCTGGGTAAAAGGCCACAGATCTCTTTGGGAAAGGCTTGGGAGAAGATCACATGCTTGTGGCAGAGTCACACACAAGGTTCTTCCTGAAGAAAACCTGGCTAAAAGGACCCTGGGTCTGAACTGACTCAGGTCTGAGGACTGAGTAAGGGTCCATTACTCTCTGTGTTGTCATTCAAATTGGACCTCTGTTCACCAGACCCAGTTGCGTTTGTTTATTTAAAAATACAACTCAAGTAAAACTTTAATAGGCTGTTCATCTATTTTAGTTCTGTAATCACTGTGATCAGTTAACTACAACCAATGATTGCTATGAGTCTAGCCATTTGGTTTTATCTCTGGCCCTATTGTCTAATAGCAGTACTAATGTCCACCTTGTATCAGGGATTAAGCATTGTGCTTGACTTTTGACACTCTGCAGTAGCATCACCTCCCATCATAAAATCAGGGCTCAATTCCAATGTTGGCATCTCCCACCATCATCCTCATAGGAGAGCATTATAGAACATTTCAAGGAATCTGGTTCTCACCAGTGTATTTGGCAAAGCCTTTGTGAAAGGAATGTCTTCTGAGTCATGCAAGGGTCATGATGAGTTGGATGAGCAGGTCACCTATGATAAATCTACTCCAAACATCCTATCTACTTAAGACTCTGGATTCTTTCCTCTCACTTAGCATGGTGTTTTATTTTTTTCCCTATTTATTTTTATTAGTTGGAGGCTAATTACTTTACAGTATTGTAGTGGTTTTTGCCATACATTGACATGAATCAGCCATGGATTTACATGTGTTCCCCATCCTGAACCCAGTATGGCGTTTTAATATCATTTAACCCTGGTCACTGTTGAGTCCACCAACCAAGCAAACTATTAAAGTCACTTGAGATGTTTAAATTAACACATTAAACCCTGAATCTCTGTAAGTGTATCCATCAGGTCAATAAATTCAGCCTATTCAACATTATGTTCCTTTCTCCCTAGTGTAAACACCGTAGGAATACAGTCCTATGTATATTCCTCAGGTTTCTGTCAGTTTAACTTCATAAAATCTTTCCATTCTCTCAGTATGGCAGTCCTCCTAGGTCAGTGACTATACTCAACTCCTTTTCCCTGGGATGTGCTGGGATCTGACTCTCATTGTAGGATTCAAGGCAAAGTGGTGGTGGTAGTGTAGGGGTGGGTCTTAAGAACAATGGGTATCATTGCGCAGATAAATGCCCCAGGTGGAGCCAGTAGAGTCCTGGAGACAAGGGCGCTTAATGTCCTGAGACAGTAGGACTGCTTATGCGGATAAGAAGGGCTCAGTAGGGTTTTGAGGCCCGGGGTGCTCAAAGTTATTGGGATCCTGTCAGATGTTCTTGTTCCCAGTTCTCAGATTTGCCTGTTTTCCAAATAAAACACTATTTTTCATATAAGAGATCTAGCAAGGCTATGAAGTCAACTTGTGCTTGCAGTTCTGCAACCTACTTGATGAAATTTGGATTTGGATTTTGGATATATTGACCTGCTGCCTACATGAAGGAAGTGCCCTGGGTCTCTGAGTATGCCTTGTTCCAGTAAACAAACCCTGAGTTGGCCATTTTCTCCTCTAGGGCTCATTAACTTGATCAGATGTAGCTAACCACCCCACACATCTTAGAGTTCTCAGACTTTTTATATAGGCTTACACAACTGTTGGAAGGGTTGAGGAATCACAAGTAAGGAAAAGGAGCTACTAGCTTTCAGAAATTCTGGAGGTGCAAAAATCACAGGAAGCTACTATGGTTTCTGTAAGCCTTTTTTAGCAGAAAGGCTTTGCCTGTTTACATTCTCTCAACATCACGCCTTTCTTCACCAGTGTATTCTCATTTTTTTAAATGTTTTTCAGCATCTCAAGAGCAACCAGGAATTGTCAAAGAAGCTGTCTGTGTTGCAGCAGGAGAAGGAAGCTCTATGTGAAGAAAATGAGCACCTTTTGAAGCAGTTTGATCTCTATATGAGGTAAACAAAAATAAGTCCCCTTTAGAAGAACACTGCGTAGAGTAAAGCTCCTTCTTACAGAACCAGCTCCGGAGCTCAGCAAGGGATGCTTGCTGAGGTGACTTTTCAAGAACGCCAACACCATTGTCCTTCCTTCCCAGAAGTTCTATCTATCGGGCTTTTTCTAGGGAGGTGTGGGGCCTTATTTCTTCTCAAGAGAGGGAGGGGGAAGGGAATTGCTATTTATTGAGCTCTAGTGGTATCTAACATCTTGCTCTTCCCCGAATACATCCCTCTGACTTGCCTTCAGGCTCTTTCCCCTCACATGCTGTCCTCAGTCTGAACCATGCTCTCCCCATTTCAACTCTTCCTTCTCAGACAAGCCTTCCTTGACACTTTCAGCCTGGGCTGGATGAGGTGCTCACTCTTTGTGTCCCTATAGCCTTCTATACGTGACTGTGATTATTTAAGGACTCACCATGTTGTTCTGAAATAATGTGATTCACACCTATCTTCCTCACCAGACTATAGGTTTTAAAGGACATGGGCCACAGTCTTATTCATCTTTTTATCCACAGTCCCTGGTATATAGAAGGTGCTCAATAGAAATCTATGTTCCCAGACTTCCTACTCTTTCTTTCATTCACTGGTCATCATTCCACCAGATTCCTCCCACTCTCCTCCTCTCTGAAGTGTAGCATGGTAGTTCAGAGTATGGACTCTGGAGCCATATTGCCTGGGTACAATTCCTGGTTCTACTAGGAACTAGCTGTGTGACCTTGGGCAAGTTAAGTAACCTCTCTGTGCCTGAGGTATCTCATCTTTAAAATGGGCAAAATAGCCATTCCTTTCGCATAAAGTTGTTGGGAGAATTAAATGATGAATGAATACATGTAATAGAACAATGTCTAGCACAAAGCTGTTATTATATCTACTTATTTTCAGTTTTCCTCTATGACCCACCTCTCTGCTTCTAGCTCTGCACCCTCATCTCTATTGTTTCTTTAAGCTGAAGTTTCTTATTCTCTTATATTCTCACTCACTTCCTATGTTGATGGTAGTAATAATGATTTGAAAACCACTTTCTGCTGTATAGTGGAAAATTCTTCAGTCATTGATATTCAGTATCTTGCTTTGATTATCATATCACTGAGAAGTATAGAAACATGGAAAGGAACATGTATGGCTCAGCTCATATTAAAATGACAAATCTAAGACTAGAACTCAGCCCTCTACTAACCTGCACAGAGCTCTTCCCACTTTGCATCTGCCGTTAGAGGGAGGAGAGGGCATCCACAGAGCCCATGGTGTCTCACAGCAGTGAGTCCAGAAAGGCCAGGCAGGAGCTGCAGGCCCTCCCTCTGTCAGGACCAGGATGCACCCTCCCATCTTGGATCAGGAACCACCAGCATGTGCACTGACCACCTCAGAGCCTGGGATCCCGAGATGGACTCTCAGTGGAGATGTTTTACGTTCTGCTGATCATGTAAGCATATTCCTGCTCATTAACCGGCCTCGGGAGCACAGCCTTCTTGGGGTCTCAATCAGATCAGGTATAAATCATTAATCTCATTGTTATCAATAAACAATGCTGATAGTTGGTGCAAACTGCCATGAAACTCCAGACCTTAGGTTGCAAAGCAACACTGTTTTAATTGGTATATTTTGTTCCTGGACCACTGGTCAGTGCCAAGCAAGAACTTTCACAAAACAGTTCAGGCCTGATTTTAGGCCTGTTGGACTCAACCCTCTAACACAGCCCTGATTTAGTTAAAAATTACCCACTGGTCCTGCAATTGATATTTTTATGTAAAATAACTTAAAACTGTTTTTGTACATATATTTTTCATTTTAAAAAATTATCTTTATAAATTCATAAGTGTGGAATTACTAATCCAAAAGCTGGAGCTATGGATCTTAAAATGTACTATCAAACATTCAGAAGCATCCTACCAAAATTTTCTGCCATTATTGTGTGAGAGTAGAAATTTCACTACATCTGTATTTGCATTGGGTGCTACCTTTGTAGGGGGAGGGCTCTGATGAAATTTTTCCCAATGCCCTTTCTTTTAACTGAGGTATAATTTACATGTACACAGATTTTTTTTTTGTACACAGATTTTTAAATGTACAATTTGATGAGTTTTGACAAATGTATACGCCCACTAAGCACAACCCCAATCAAGATACAGAACATTTCCTTTATCCCTTACAGTTTGTTCCTTTTTATAGTCAGTCTGTATCTCCTGATCCCTCACCTCCTCCCAGGAATCTACTCTTCTGATTTCTGTCTCTACTAGAATGGAATTATACTACATGTAATCTTTTGTGTCTGACTTCTTTTGCTCAGATTATTCCATTAATTTTTATTTTGGAATAATTCCCATCCATTGTTTTCAATGATCAGTTATAGTCATAAATTACTTGTTATTTTATTTTGAATTTCTTTGATGGCTAGGGAGTCTGAATAGTTTTCCATATTATTAGTCCATAGCCTTTAGAACAGTGAATCCTAACCCTAGCTGCACATATGTGGGCCCCAACATAGATTAATTAAATCAGAATCTGTGAGGATAGGGCTTAGGGATCAATGTCTTTCTAAAATCATGCCCATGTGATTCTGATGGGCACCTAGGAAAATTACAGCTTTAAGAAAGAAAATGAAAAAAAAAAGAAAGAAAGAAAATGGAAAAAATTGTCAAAACTCTAGGTTCATTTTTTTCATTCCCCTGATCCTACTCCTGACCTTTACAAACAATGCTTAATTTTTTTCCCATATTTTCCCAGCTACTCTTCCAGAGGAACAAATTCCTTGCCATTTTGAAATAAAAATGAAGGAAAAACCATCTGGTTTTACTTAAACATAACCCAAAGTTGTCCTGAAATTTTAGAACATGAGTATTGTGCTGCCTTATCATGCATGCAGTTAACCAAGCCAACCATAAACTTAGAAAATCCACATGTTCTTTGGCAAGTTGGCCAGCAGAACTTCTGACCAAACTGATAGGTGTGCCAAATAGCCAGCAAGCTATTTGGGAAGGTCTAAGCTCTCATCAGCTTTACTGCATCCAGGTACTTTTCATACCATGTAGTTCTACTGGAAGAAGTCTGAATATCTACAATAGGAGCTAGTTAGGTCAAGTATTGTACATTCACTTGATGGAATATTATACAGCTGTAAAAGATGGTGGCCATGAACATTAGAAGTGATGTGGGAAAATGCTTCTGATACAATAAATGAAAAGAGCATAAAATAATTTTAACCTAGACAGTGTTTAAACAGAAGATACTTATAAAAAGAGTGGAAGGAAAGACAACAATATCATAAAATAGATCATATGGGAGTTGGATTTTTTTCCCCAAGTTTTCTATAATTTATCATTTAAAAATAAATAATTTTTTTATTTTTATTAAATTTTTTAATAGTCCAAATGGCAGAATAAGAGAGACAGCAGCTGTCTGGCATGGAAGCTGCAGATGTGGGTTTTAATAACCCAGGGCAGAATGTGTAAAAGAAATTCTAGAAATCCATGTTGTATTTCAAATGATGTCAAAACATCAGAGGAACTGTGAACAGCTGGGAAACTCAGAGAACAACAGGTGTACCATTAGTGTTTAAACCTCTGAAGCTATGGACTGGGGGATGCTGAAACCCAGTGATATCTTTTGACAAACTCTTCCCAGAATAAGGGAAAATGAGAACATTTGTGAGATGAAAATATCTTCCTGTATAGAACCTGAGTCAATCCATAAAAATATATATTTCCTATTATATAGTGGGTGCTACAAGGGCCACAGAACTGAACAAGCCTAAAGCAGTTTTATAAACCTCAATATCTAGAGTAACTCTGTTGAGTTGCTGTAGCAGAGACATTGAATAAGAATGTCTTTAGAAAGGGAGGGGGTTTCTCTCTTGCCTAAAAGCGCAGGGAGCTCAATGTTTCCAAAGTCTAGACTCCTTTCTTGTCGCTGCAGCATCTTTAGCACTTATCCACATAGTCCAAGGCAGTTCATTACTATATTCACATTTTATCCAACAAGAAGGGAAAAAGAGGGGAAGGCAAGGGCATTCTGTTTTCCTTTAAGGCACATTATTTCCACTCCAGCTACTGGCCGGAACTTACTCACATGGCCTCATCTAGCTGCCTCATTTAACTACAAAAAAACTACATTTTCTTGTAGTTCATGTTTGAGCAACCAAGTGCCAAGCTAAAACCAGGAGGTCTATAATGATATAAGAAGGGGAAGGTGTACTGAGGACCCATCCCCACAGTCAGTCACTGCCACCCAAACTGACGAGCTGGTGACAAGGGCGAGTGTGCATGTCTCTGACCTACAGGAATTCAAACTTCTCTGCTTGGTATCTGGCCAACAGCTGAATTAATCTTCTAAGGGAAAAATATGCAAAATGATTCTTTTGTTTACAATCAACAGTTAGGAGAGAGAGGGGCACTATTTTGGAAAATGGAAGAGTCTTGCAAAACACACTTAGAGGTAAGATAATAACTTAACCAGAGCAGAAGACTCTCCTGGAGTCACTAGACTAAATTACCATCTAAATAAGTCTCCTTTGCTCTTCCCCTGCCATCCAGCTCCTAGTTTTTTTAAAAAAGTGTTAATCGCTCAGTTGTGTCCAACTCTTTGCAATCCCATGGACTGTAGCCTGCCAGGCTCCTCTGTCCATGGACTTCCCCAAGTAAGAATACTGGAGTGGGCAGCCATTCCCTTCTCCAGGGGATCTTCCCAACCCAGGGATCGAACCTGGGTCTCCAACATTGAAAGCAAATTTTTTAAACCATCTGAGCCACCAGGGAAGCCCTTATAATAGGTTATTAAGATGTAATTCACATACTGTACAATTCACTCATTGAAAGTGTACAATTCAGAGGCTTTAGTTATAGTCCATCACTGCAATCAATTTTAGAACATTTCATTACCTAAAGAAATCCTTTAGGTATACCCTCCATTCCTAGTTTCCCTCCTTACTCCCAGCCCCAGGCAACCACTAATGTACTTTGTTTCACTCTATATTTGTCCCTTCTGGACATTTCATATGAATGGAGTTGTATAACATGTGGTCCTTTGTGACCGGCTTCACTCACCTAGCATAGTGCCTTCAAAGTTCATTTATGTTGTAGCATATATTTGTACTTCATTCCTTTTTATAGCTATATAGTGTTCCATTATATAGATACTCCATATTGTGTTTATTTGTTCATTAGTTAATGGAAATTTAGGTCGTTTTCACCTTTTGACTGTTATGAATAGTGCTACTATGAATATTCATGTACAAGTTTTTGTGTGGGTGTACATTTTCACTTCTCTTAGGTATATACCTAGGAATGGAATTGCTAGGTCAAATGGCTCTCTATATTTAACCATTTGAGGAACTGCTAGGCTTTTTCCATTTGACAGTCTAACCAGCAGTATATGAGTATTCCAATTTCTCCACATCCTTGCCAGTACTTTTTAAAAATACATGTATTTATTTATTTATTTGTCTGTGCCAGGTCTTGGTTGCATCGTGTGGGATCTTTGATCTTTGTTGCAGTATGCAAACTCTTAGTTGTGGTATGTGGGATCTAGTTCCCTGACCAGGGACCCAGCCTGGCGCCCCTACATAGCAGAGCCTTAGCCACTGGATCACCAGGGAAGTCCTTCCAGTACTTCACTACCTTTTATTTTTTATTTCAGCCATTCTCCTGTGTGAAGAGGTATCTCACTGTATTTTTTATTTGCATTTTCTTAATACTAATAATGTTGAACATCTTTTCATGTATTTATTGGTGGTAAGTTAAATTTATGTCAGAATCAGAATAAAAGTCTTGAGCAGAGATCTAGATAGAATTGGCATTTAGAAGTCTAAACTCAAGACAAGAGTGAAAGCAAACCCTGTTGTCTGGAAAATCGACAAGACAGAGTGGGTTCTATCACTGTCCAAGGGTATAGCCCAGAAGCAGAAAATTTTAAAGTGATGACTAGCTCAGTGGAGTAGGATTCAAAATTTTTAGATATCAGGGATCAGACGTCAAGGAGTTTCCTGTGTTGGGGATGACTGAATCTGGTGTCATGGGGGAGGTTCTCCTTGGTCCATTTCCCCCACTTGGGTGAGAAGTGCTATGGATGCGAGGCAGGACAAGTGTTCGTCTCTGGGACCCACCCTGACAAAGCAAGAAGAGGAACCCCAAGAAAGGTGCTAATCGAGGAGGCAAAGTAAATTTTCACTGTGTTTAGGTGCATCTATATTTAAATTTACTTTTGTAGAAACTATAATCAGAAATATCAGTACTACAAAGTCAAGCTGCACAGAGTCAAGGATCGTTTAGTTGATGAAGTAGAACTCCGAGATGAGAGAATCAAACAACTCGAAAATGAGGTTGGAGCCCTGCGGCAGCAAATGGAAAAGGTGAGGGGAGGGCGGAGCGCTCGCTGGTCCTGCTGGCGCCGGGCATCCGGGGAAGCCCACTTGATGTTTGATGTGTTTGTGGCCTCTTCAGAGCCCAGGTTTCCCTTTCTTTTCTTTGCACCCTTTTTCAGTTTGAGTAATTGTTTAAGCCCTGCCCCAGAGTTTGCAAGACTCATAGTGATGCTAGATCAAACTGAACACTGAAAATGCTCTGCACTGCTGCTTAGGGCTAGCATCTTGCCTTCAAATGAAAGTGCCTTTTTTATTTATTTTTAATTTATTTTTAATGGGAGGATAATTGCTTTTACAATGTTGTGTTGGTTTCTGCCATACATCAACGTGAATCAGTCATAGGTGTATAAATATGCTCCCTCCCTCTTGAACCTCCTCCCACCTCCCACTTGATCCCACCCCTCTAGGTTGTCACAGAGCACCAGTTTGAGCTCCCTGCATCATCCAGCAAATTCCCACTGGTTATCTGTTTTACATATGGTCAGTCAGTCAGTCAGTTCAGCTGCTCAGTCATGTCCGACTCTTTGCGACCCCATGAATCGCAGCGTGCCAGGCTTCCCTGTCCATCACCAACTCCCGGAGTTTACACAAGGTAGTGTATATGTTAATCACGCTTTAGCTGAGACTTCCAAACCAGCCTCCACAACTCATTCCTGCTTTATGTAGCCCTCATTTTGCCTCACATTTCTGTCCATTTTAAATGGAAATGAAAACAGGTGACCCCTATTCTTCTATCTGACTGGCACCTTCAGCTGTTTTCTAAATCTCTCTGGTTTCTTTGTCTTGTTGCCCCTGTTGACTTTCTGGTGTTGGCAGAAAGTAAATGGAACAGATGAATGGGACCCAATGCAGAATGGCCTTGAGAGCAATAAACTACATCAGTTCAAAGGGGAGAGCAGCTGATTTGGCCAGAAATGTTTCCCTTCTGAAGATACCCAACCCATTTCAGAATTTTGAAAACATTGTCCTCAGTCCTAAATTACTCCTTTCTACACCCACCAAATTTTTATCATATCACCACTACGTGCCAAGGATACCAAAGCAATTGATATAAATTCAGTTATTCCATGGGCTATTATAGGACTCCACAAGAAGACTCCGTCGATGACTGTAATAAAACATGTGAGGATTATAAGAGATGGGTCACTGTGTTTTTGTTTTTTTTTAAATCCTTCTGTTACTTTAAACTGTAGTGAGAATGGAAAACAAGTTAGATTTTGCAGTACCCTCCTATTGTGGCACTAACTCACCAAACTTTGGAAGACTCAGATCCAGGTTAGACTTAGGGTCAGATCCAGGTTAGGAAGGCAACGCAGAAAGTATAACAGAAGAAAGTAGCAGCTCTTGTGCACAGGCCCACCGGAAATACCGTCAGCCTATTCTGCACTACCCATTCTTCCTGGTGGTGCCTGTCTTCCACTTCCAAGCTTACATGGCAAAACCAGCCTCCTGCTTTCAGCAGGCATGTTTCCTGACTGTACCATGTTGAAGAGTATACCCCCCAAATTCATGGCCACCCGGAACCCCAGAATGTGACCTAATTTGGAAGTTTGCTGGTATAAACAATCAAGATGAGGTCATACTAGATTAGCGTGAACCCCAAATCCAATATGACTAGTATCATTATACGAAGAGGAAAAGGCGTACACAGGGGAGAAGGGCCATGTGATGATGAGGCACCGATTGGAGCAATGAAGCCACAAACCAAGCACCAATGACTGGTAGCATTCATCAGTTAGGAGGGAGATATGGAACAGACTCTCCCTCAGTGCCCCCAGAACTAACCCTGTCAACAACTTGATTTTAGACTTCTAGGAATTCAAACAACAAATTCCTGTTGTTTTAAGCTGCCCAGTTTGTGGTAATCTGTTACAGCAGCCCTGGGGAACTAGAACATCTACCCCTAGTCACAGGTCTCCATGAAATTTACTGGAGGCTGCAAGTAACCAGAGACGAGGAAAGAGTGGTTGGGGGTGGCCTTGGACAGGCTTGGATGCAAAGGCTAGCCCTGCCACTTAATAGTTCTGTGACCTTTCCCGAGCTCCTTTGCATCATTTTCTTGTGAAAATATGAATCCCTACCTCACAAGGCTTCTGTGAGGATTAAAATACAAAATGCCTAAAGTGGGACCTCCTGGCACATACAAATCTTCATAGATGTTACTTTCTTCTTAGTGTAAAGTCTCTTGGTGGTGGTGGCAGCTTAGTTGCTAAGTCATGTCCAACTTTTGTGACCCCATGGACTATAGCCCATCAGGTTCCTCTGTCCATGGAATTTTTTCCAGGCAAGAATACTGGAGTGGGTTAACATTCCCTTCTCCAGGAGATCTTCCTGGCCCCAGGAATCAAACCCCGGTCTCCTGCATTGCAGGCAGATTCTTCATTGACTGAGGTATGATAAAATCTCTTAGAAGCATGTTGATCAGTAGATGTACCACAGAGGTACAAACCTGGAGCTCTTGATTCTACTTATTTTAGGGCCTGTGAACCAGAGCACCAAGCATACAAATCCTGGACTCACTTTCTAAGCACAAAGTCTCCAGAAAATAATGCCACTTTTGGGGGGCTTCATTCCTTCAGCCCTCTTTTATTCAATGAGCCAGTCGAGTCCTCTGACTGTGTGACCACCCAAACCAGGTTTCCACAAGTATTTTATCCTATTATTACAGCAGGTGTCCTGGTTCCTAAAAAATACAGTATTTTCAATGGACAGGGTGTCAGTAGCCAGTCCCACTCAGTTTCCTTTCTAATCCAGTTATAACTGCAGAGATTATTTGTCGGGTGGCTGCTTCTACTGTCAATCCTTACCATAATGTATTTAAAGAGTAACAGGTGAGACTGTTGTTAGACACTGAAGGGTCCTGGATGAAGGACTTTAAAATATGGAAGAGTTGTTCCAAAACATGCCATAATCTCCTTCCTTACAATTCCTTAATAATAGACTAATAGATGGACAGCCTTCCTTCTTCTCTCCCTCCCTCCCTTCCTCACTCTCTTTTCTTCCTTCCCTTCTTTCTATTTTGAATTATAATTGACATAATATTATGTTTACAGCATTATTACATTAGTTAGTTATATAGCACAATGATTCAATATTTGTATATATGTCCACCACAATAAGTCTAATTAACATCCATCACCACCCATAGATACAAATGTTTTTTCTTGCAATGAGAACTTTTAAGATCTCCTGTCTTAGCAACTTTGTCATAATGCAATACAGTATTACTAGCTATAGCCCTATGCTGAACATTACATCCTTATAACTTATTAATAACTGGAGTTTATACCTTTGACTACCTTCACCCATTTTGCCCACCCCTCTCCACCTCTTGTTGTTCAGTTGCTCAGTCATGTCTGACTCTTTGCAACCCCGTGGACTGCACCTCTGGCAGCCAACAATCCAATCTGTTCTCTGTGTCTATGAGTCTGTTTTTTTTGTTGTTGTTTGAGTTTTTTTAGATACCACATATGTGGACAGTCTTTTGTGAATGATCTATATTATTAATAGTGCCTTATTGAAAGAAAGAAAGAAAGTTGCCCCTCCTAACCATGTGATTCACCCATCTGCCAGAGGTCCTTACTCTCCTGCCACTCCCATTCATGCCCATCCCACAAAGGAAGGTGGGAACCAACACAAATAGGAGAAGGCACTTACCTGTTATCACTAACAGGTCCTTGGTGAAGGGAAAAGGGCAGTTCTACACTTGTGAGCTTCTGAGCTCTTCACCAACTGTGATATTTACTAATATCTGCTGACTCAAGGTAAGGATGTTAGTGTTTTTTCACAAAATGTAATCCTGTATTATTTTAGCTATAACTTCACTAGCTATTGCTTTCAGGGAAGATGTTGGTAGAAAATGAAACATGATGTCAAGCTAGAAATCATTTCAGCATCATCACTGCAAGAGTACTCTCGATACCTGGCTGACATGCCAAGCAACCAAAACCCTGATGCTGGTTTTCAAGTGAGGTGGCTAGATTCCCATCTTCCTTCACCTTAAAAAGACTGTAACTACAAAGTAGATGGAAATGTGTTATATGGAAATCTTTCTCAGTATGGAGCTTCAGAGAATTTAGTTGTATTTGTTAGTGACTTGATACCTATAGAATTAGAATACAGATGAGAGCACTGGGACCTTATTGGAAGTTGAGTGTTCAGACATTAAAAAATTTTAACCCAAAAGAATGAATAAATGTGAAAACAAATACATAGCATAAAATAACCAAGATAAATAGGAGAATGGTCTAGCTGACAATGTTAGCAAACAGGTAAAGACAGACTAAGAAGACAGGAGAAAAAGATGTTTGCAAGACAATTTACTGTTGAGTTTAGAAACAGGCTGATGCTCTTAAATGTGTAATTCTTTCTCCTGCTGGGATAATTATGAGAACTTATTATCCCTAGGAAAAGGCATTCCAGCACCAAATCACCACCCAAAATGATATCCTGCTTCTAGAAAAAAGGAAACTTCTGGAGCAGGTCACAGAACAAGAAACATTGATTAACAGCAACAAGTGGATGATATCTTCTGTCCAGAGCAGGTAGGTGCCTGCCCCAGTGGCCTGTGAGCTCCACAAAGAGGATATTTCTCCCTCCACAAAGAGATCATTCCAGAGGTGGTCCTTTGAGTTTGCAGACTTGTCTCATAACTGTTTATCTGCCATTCAGGTGTTTTTAGCAGTTCATACAAGTGGCAGAAGTTGTAAAATTAAAGAGAACAGTATCATGAAGAAGGTCAGCTGGGCATTCAGATAGGCTCTTTCATGGCAGGATTGCCTCCCAAGGACCCAGGTGTGTTCATCCTGGTCCATCCCGTTTATGTGTGTTGACACTCATGTTCATGTTTTGGCATCTATGGAATCAAGGTAGACTGAGAGAGAATAAGGCTGGCATCTCAGCTGTACGACTTTCTGGTTTTATCTTTTTACATAAGTTACTTTCCCCATTCTGAGCCTCAGTTTCCTTACCTGCAAAATAGACTTCATAACAGTATCTATTTCATGGGCTCGTTGTGAGGATTAAAGGAGCCAATACATGAAAAGTTTTAAGTGTTTACTGTATAGATGGGCTTCCCAGGTGGCACTAGTGGTGCCACCAGGAGATATAAGAGATGCTGGTTCGATCCCTGGGTCAGGAAGATCCCCTGGAGGAGGGCATGACAACCCACTCCAGTATTCTTGTCTGGAGAATCCCATGGACAGAGAAGCCTGGTGGCTATGGTCCATAGGATCGCAAACAGCTGGACGTGACTGAAGCAACTTAGCATGCATGTGCTGTATAGATAGTTCACAGTGCCTACATACATGGTAAGTACTTGGTAAAATGGCTACTGCTGCTACTAATGCTGCTGCTGCTACTGTTTTTACTTCAACTACTATTGAAATAAAAACATGGGGTGACTGAGATCAGAACCAGATGCAGGCTGTGTGGCTACAATGTTAGAAGGGATGCAGAGTCCCGCCCCTAAATGCGATCACATCATTTCTTAGGTTTCTCAAGGGCTGGAACTGTGCCTTTCATATTCTTGCATAGAGTGTGTCTCTATTTTCTATTTAATGACTGTGTATAAGCCAGAAGCTTACTCATTTTCACTTGGTTTTGGAATATGGTGGGAATTATTCTGGCAAAGTTGGTTCTAAAATTTGGCAGTGGGCTAAGACCCAGAGCTAGTGGGAAGTGGAAGAGAGTTTTTTGGATGATCCAGAAATGTTAAGTTACGCCTCTGATCTATGCCATCCTTAGAGTACTTGTCCTGGATGAAGAAAATAAGCAGCTACAGAAAAACAGTCTCCAGCTGACACAGGAGGTTGATCTCCTAGAGCATATCATAAAGAGCATCCAGATCCACAGAGGGGAGGTAAGCCTGCTGTCTTCTCTTCCCTTCACCTTCTGCATGAAGCTGTAGCCTGAACTTGGCCTTGGTGGACTATGGCAGAGGTTCACTGGCTGCACACCCAGGGAGCAGGCCTTGAGATAGCTCTTGACCAACTTGCTCATTGGGTCAGCTTTTGTTCGACTGGCTCCTCCAATGTGATCCCAAAGCACTCTGTGTATGCCTCCCAGCTTCTTCCTTAACACACTGTACTGTCATTGCCTTTTCACTTCTCTCTCTCATCATCTCAGCAGTGACATCCTGGAGGAAAAGGGTTACATCTCATATGTTGCTGTATCTATGAACAGGTGCTCCATATATATTTGAGAATGAAAGGATGTTAAATGTCCTCACACATATGCCTCCTTCTCAGCTACCCTGTTTGCCTTGTATTATTCTATCCCCATCTTGAGAGATGAGCCCATCTGAGGCTCAGAAAGGTAAAGTGAAGCTAGTCTGGTCTGGCAAGGAGTTAAGTCTAAGGAGAACATCTGAGTCAGAGAAATGCAATTATGTTACAAAAGTTCTGGCAGGCAAGTAGCCAAGTCCAGAGAGATGCAGCAAATAGTCTACATTCAGATGAGATCCAGGGTCTGGCTGGTGACCGAGTCAGCCAGAGGCACTTCAGTAAGCAGAGCTGAATTCTGAATCCAGGATGGAGCCTACTTGCTTTCTTCCCTGGCTTATATCATCTGCTACGCCTTTCTTCCCAGGATACTTCACAGTAGATCCTGCTTATTGGTTTAGGGCCCATGGAAAGACATGTCTCATCTCCCCTCTGCCATCTTCCCAGCCTTTGTCTTATAAGTCCTGTGGTTCTTAGTCTGTAGCTGAAGGGGTCTTTAGAAAATACATGTAGTCTGAGCAGATGACTCAGTGCTGCGCAAGAACTTCCTGCAGTCTTCAGGGTAAAACTCCCAGTTTCTGACATGGTCTTTATATGCTCTGTGACGACGTCTCTGGTCTGTTTTGGTCTGTATTTTCCTGAGAAAGAATATTTGGTTTTTAAAGTCATGGAGGACTTCCCTGGTGGCGCAGTGGATAAAATCTGCCTGCCAGTGTAGGGAACACTGCAACTACTGAAGCCTAGAGCCTGTTCTCCACAGCAAGAGAAGCCACTGCAGTGAGAAGCCCATTCACTACAATGAAAAGTAGCCCTCGCTTGCCACAACTAGAGAAAGCCCACACGAAAACCAGTGAAGACCCAGTGCAGCCAAATGTAAACAAATAAATAAATGAAAATTTAAAAGATCATGGAGCTCAAAACAGGTAACTTTTTTTACGTTATAAAGGGACAGAAAATGTTTACCAGAGTATTAAGTAAAAGCTTAACTAGGTGAATATATTGGAATGATTACATCAGCTAATATGAGGTTATTAACGTAGAAAAGCAGACGTAAAAAACAGTCTAGCAGTTATATATAACTTTTTCTGTATTTTCCAAGTCTCCTATAAATGTGTTATCATAATTTCATAATTAAAAAAAATAAAATCAGGCCAGCAGTGAAAAGCACTAATATAGAAAGTTTGGCATTTATTTATTATTTTTAAAATAATTTTATTTATTGAGGTAACATTGGTTTCTTCCCTTGTGGCTCAGTTGGTGATGAATCTGCCTGCAGTGCAGGATATCTAAGTTCAATTCCTCAGTCAGGAAGATCTGGAGAAGGAAATGGCAACCCACTACAGTTTTCTTGCCTGGAGATCCCATGCACAGAGGAGCCTGGCAGGCTACAGTCCCTGGGGTCACAAGAGTCGGACATGACTTAGCAACTAAACCTACCTACCCTACCCTAACATTGGTTTATAACATTATATAGGTCTCAGGTATATAACAATTATACCTTGACTTCTGTATACACTACAGCATGCTCACCACCAAAAATGTATAGTTTCTATTCATCGCCATAACAGTAGAACACTTCTGCCCATTTCACCCTTACCCACTTTCCCCTCTGGTAACCACTACTCTGTTCTCTGTATCTATCTGTTTATTTTTGTTTGCTTATTATTCCACATATGAGTTAAATGAATTAAGGTAGTTTTAGTCACCAAGTTGTGTTAGACTCTTGAGATTCATGGTCTGTAGCCTGCCAGGCTTCTCTGTCCATGGGATTCTCCAGGCAAGAAAACTGAAGTGGGTTGCCATTTCCTTCTCCAGGGGACTTTCCTGATGCAGAAGTTGAACCCAGGTCTCCTGCATTGCAGGCAGATTCGTTAACAACTGAGCTGCAAGGGAAGAAACCATATGGTATTTGTCTTTCTCTCTGACTTATTTCACTTAGCATAATACCTTGTTGTTCACCCACATTGTTACAAATGGCAAGATTTCATCTTTATTTATTTATCGTCTTCTTTATCCACCATTCATGCATTGAAGGGCACTTAGGGTGTCTCCATATCTTGACTATTGTTATTAATGCCATAGCTTTTCTTTTTAAAAAAAATCTATTTGTTAATATTTATATAGGCTACCCTGGGTCTTCATTGCTGTGCAAGGACTTTCTCTAGTTGCAGTGAGCGGGGGCTGTCCTCTAGGTGTGATGCACAGACTGCTTACTGCAGGGGCTTCTCTTGCTGAAGAGCAGGGGCTCTAGAGCGTGGGCTTCGGTAGTTGTGGCACATGAACCCAGTAGCTGTGGCGCACAGGCTTAGCTGCCCCCCAGCATATACAGTCTTCCCTGATCAGGGACTGAGTCTGTGTCCTCTGCATTAGCAGGCAGATTCTTAACCACTGGACCACCAAGGAAGTCCACATATACTTTTCAAATTACTGTTGTCATATTCTTCAGAGAAATACCCAGAAGTGGGACTGGAACATGTGGTAGCTTTTAGTTTTTTCAGGAGTCTCCATACTGTTTTCCACGGTGGCTGTACCAATTTACAGTCCCACCAACAGTGTATGAGGGTTTGCTTTCCTCCACATCCTTGCCAGCACTTGTTATTTCTTGCCTTTTTGATAACAGCCATTTTAACGGGCATGAGGTAATATCTCATTGTGGTTTTGATTTGCATTTCCCTAGTAATTAAGTGTTGTTCAACATCTTTTCATGTGCCTGTTGGCCATCTACATGTCTTCCTGGGGAAAAATGTTTCTTTAGCTCTTCTGCCCATTTTTTAACTCCAGTTGTTTGGTTTTTTTTTTTTGTTAAAAGTATGAGATGTAGAATTGTCAAATATTCCATAGATATTAGGGATTATATCCCCCAAATTTTGATGATATAAATTACATATAACATTTAAGTTTAAAGTATACAATATAATGATTTATTATATGTATTTATTACAAAATGATCACCACTGTAAGATGAGTTAACATCCATCATCTCATATAGGTACAATTTTTTTTTCCTCATGACGAGAACTTTTAAGTTCTACTCTCTTAGCAACTGTCAATATATACAATGCAGTGCTGTTAAGTAGTCATCATGTTTTACATTACATCCCAAGAACTTAGTTCTCTTACAAGAGAAAGTTCATACCACTGATCACATTCACCTAATTCCCCCATCCCTGACAACCATAAATCTGGTCTCTATTTCAAGAAGGTTAGTTTTGTTTTTTTTAAAAACTCCAAGTATATGTAAGATCATACAGTATTTGTCTTTCTCTCTGACTTATTTTACTCAGCACGATGACCTCAAGGTCCATTCATGTTGGCACAAATTGCAGGATTTCCTTATTTAAAATTTTTCATTTTGCTGAATAGTATCATATTGTACACATATTCTTTATCCATGTGTCCATCATGGACACCTAAGTTGTCCATATTTTGGCTATTGTAAATAAAGCTCCTCTAAACATGGAATATAGATATCTCTTTGGGACAGTGATTTCACTTCTTCCAGGTACATACCTAGAAGTAAGACAGCTGGATCATATGGTAGATCTCTTTTTAATTTTTTTAGGAACCTGCATGTCTTCCACAGTGGCTGTACCAATTTACATTCCCATGAACAGTGCAGAAGGGTTCCCTTTTTTCCATATCTTCTCCAGCATTTGTTATCTCTTGTTTTTTTGGTGATAGTTAGTCTAATAGGTATAAGGTGAGGGGATTACACTTTTAACCAAAAATATGTATAAAAAAATACATATCACCAATGGTCTATGATTATAATTTAATACTCATCCTTTCTTTTAAGGAAACAACAGTTTGTGACATCTGTGAATCTGAAGTATTGAATAAAATCATGTACTTACCAAACTCCAGGTTAGTAAAATCAAAACCATCATTTGCATGCCTGAGTCATGGCTGCCTAGCTAGTTCTAGTTGCTGGCCTGAGAAAGCATAGTATTTAGAGGTAATTTTTTCTATATTTAGTATCTAAATCTTCTTGTAACTCCTCCTTCCCTTGCTACCACTTCACCTTCACACTTGACAGAATCCTGACTTAAGGTAGAAAAGAATCCATTTTATGTGGTCCTCACATAAGGCCCTTCTTAGTTTTTCAGGAATGGGTTCGGTAGAGCCCGCTGGAAGTCTTGAAGAGACTGAAGAACAGAGGTTAGAAGAAACAGTGGCAGACCCCAAGTCCCTCAAGTCCCTTTCCTGTTCACAGAATTCTGAAGCTGGATACATAAACATGGCTTCTGTGAAAGAAACACATCTCATTCAAAAATAAAACGAAGTCAGATCTAGAAAATCATCAGTGTCTAATAGACTGATCAAAGCTGCTAACCTGAAGCTTGGGTGTGCAGGTGGAACATGACATGGAGAAGAGTTTGGGCAGGTCCTCACTGGACATCAACCAGGAATCTTCAAAATTGTTGACAAATTCATTAAACCTGTTCTACAAATGGATTTCTCAAGTTTTTTTGGTATCCTCTAATGCCTTGTATTGATCAATGTCATGACATAAATTTAGTGGTTTAATAAGGTTGTTGTTCAGCAGAGCACATATATGGCTAATTCAGCATTCTATCTATTCTTATTATCATGGGTATTATTTTTTAATTTAAAAGAAAAAATAATGTAATCACCTTAAAGCAAATATTTGAAAAAGAAAAAAAACCTATAAAGCCCACATTTTTGACACAACTACTTTCATTTATCCTTTCCTGGTTCTTATTCAAATGTATATATTTTAAATGATTATACTGTATATTCATTTTCAGTCTGATTTTAAATTTAATATGTCATAAAACATTTCCCCATATTTCATCAGTCTTCATAATTATTCTTTTAGTAACCATATGGTATCCTATCATGTTGTCCTACAAACTGGTCTGTAGTTTGACATTTGTTTCTACTTTTTTACTATTTTAAGATTATTGCTGTGATGAAAGTCTTTGTAAATGTAGCTCTTTTCTTGAGTTATCCAGAAAACACATTTACAAGATGGGCATGATTGGGTTAAAGGATATAAATGATATATAGTTTTGATACATCACTTGCTAAATTGTTTTAAAAAGATTGTGTCAACATATTCTTTCTATAGTTTAACTCTTTAAGCCTCAATTTCTTGATCCATAAAATGGGAGCAATAGTAGTTCCTATCCTATAGAGTTGTGAGGACCAAATGAAATAAACCATGTATGCAGCACTTAGTAACAGCTTAATAAACACTTAGGCATCATTATTTATTTGCAATAGCAGTTTGGGTGTACTAGTTTTTCTGTGACCTCATCAACATAAGATATTATCAATATAAAAAATTATTCTAAATAGTTGGTATAAAACTATACTGAAGGATGATTTCTGCTGCTCCTTCTCCTCTTTCTTCTATACCTTCAATTGCAAGTACAGAGGGAAACCAAATGGAGAGAGAAAGTAACCAGAAGTTATTTTAAAAGACCCCTTAAGTTGAGATCAAATTGCCAACATCCAATGGATCATTGAAAAAGCAAGAGAGTTCCAGAAAAACATCTATTTCTGCTTTATTGACTATGCCAAAGCCTTTGACTGTGTGGATCACAATAAACTGGAAATTTCTGAAAGAGAGGGGAATACCAGACCACCTGACCTGCCTCTTGAGAAACCTGTATGCAGGTCAAGAAGCAACAGTTAGAACTGGACATGGAACAACAGACTGGTTCCAAACAGGAAAAGGAGTACGTCAAGGCTGTATATTGTCACCCTGCTTATTTAACTTACATGCAAAGTACATCATGAGAAACGCTGGGCTGGAGGAAGCACAAGCTGGAATCAAGATTGCCGGGAGAGATATCAATAACCTCAGATATGCAGATGACACCACCCTTATGGCAGAAAGTGAAGAAGAACTAAAAAGCCTCTTGATGAAAGTGAAAGAGGAGAGTGAAAAAGTTGGCTTAAAGCTCAACATTCAGAAAACTAAGATCATGGCATCCGGTCCCATCACTTCATGGCAAACAGATGGGGAAACAGTGGCTGACTTTTTTGGGGGGGGGCTCTAAAATCACTGCAGATGGTGATTGCAGCCATGAAATTAAAAGATGCTTACTCCTTGGAAAGAAAGTTATGACCAACCTAGACAGCATATTGAAAAGCAGAGACATTACTTTGTCAACAAAGGTCTGTCTAGTCAAGGCTATGGTTTTTCCAGTGGTCATGTATGGATGTGAGAGTTGGACTATAAAGAAAGCTGAGCGCCGAAGAATTGATGCTTTTGAACTGTGGTATTGGAGAAGACTCTTGAGAGTCCCTTGGACTACAAGGAGATCCAACCAGTCCATCCTAAAGGAGATCAGTCCTGGGTGTTCATTGGTAGGACGGATGCTGACGCTGAAACTCCCAATACTTTGGCCACCTGATGCGAAGAGCTGACTCATTTGAAAAGACCCTGATGCTGGGAAAGATTGAGGGCATAAGAAGAAGGGGACGACAGAGGATGAGATGGTTGGATGGCATCACCAACTCAATGGACATGGGTTTGGGTGAACTCTGGGAGTTGGTGATGGACAGGGAGGCCTGGCATGCTGCGGTTCATGGGGTTGCAAACAGTCGAACATAACTGAACTGAACTAAGTTGAGACACACTGAATTTTTATATGTAAGCTTTGCTTCCTCAGACCAAAAGGGTGGTCATAGGATATAGGAAATAATAGCTATGATATTAGATCCAAGCCTTACCCAACTCATTCAAGTCATTGAATCTATTTATTGAATAGTGGGCACACCTGTGAAGACAGACGCGGAAAGTGTCATTTTTTGTTGACAAACCCAAGTCCCTGTGCCTGCAGAACAGTGAGAACAAACAAACAGAAAAATTAGAATTTGGAGGAGAGAAAGTTTTATTGCATGGGCCATGCAAGAACAGGTGGTTCCTGCTGGAAAGACCCAAACTTTCCATGAGTTTTCAGGGAATAGTTTTTAAAGGCATCATTTGGGGGTGATGACTGTAGGGTGTATGACTTTCTTCTGACTGGATGGTGGTGAGGTAACAGGGTGACGTTCCAGGAATCTCAATCATTAACCTTCCGGTTCCCACCAGTCTGGCTTCACAAAAGGTACTTACCATCCTCCACCTGGGTGAGGGCTTTAGTTCCTGCAGCACTCAAAGATCTGTATCAGATTATTACATATATCCCATGAGGAGGGACTGAGGCTCTGTTTTATCACTGAAATACATTTTTTTTACATTTAATTGTAGTTGATTAACAGTGTTGTTAGTTTCAGGTGTACAGCAAAGTCAACTAAAATTTTATTTATTTATTGCTGTGCGGCAGACAGGATCATAGTTCTCCGACCAGAGATCAAACCCATGCATGTGCTGGAAGCATAGTCTTAACCACTGGCCCACCAGGGAAGTCCCTGAACTATAATTCTGTGACTGCTTTTCCTTTGTTTTTGCATTCCCTCATGTCCTTCATTAGGAACTGTTTGGATCTCCTCTTTGGAACAAGGTCCAGTAGGCTCAAGTCTTTCTACAAACAAGGAATCAGGTACAGAAGAAAGGGTTTTATACACAGTAGTGTCCTGCAAGGGCCTGCTGTCTCAATCCATTTTTCTTTGGTACTCCACAACCTTGAGGGAAACAGGTGGACATGAAAGGGAACGTTTTAGATAGGTTATTCATAAGCTTTGCAAAGGAACCTGGTTTTTATGAAGGACCCAGTTTCATTTTCATGGAGTTAAAACAAGTGTGAAGCAGCTGGTGAGGTGGGGAAACCATATAATTTTGGATGGTGAATGGCATGAAGACAATCAGTAATCTGTGCAAAAGAGTGGCAGAGGGCTACTTTAGATTGGGTGCAATGTTCCTGACTGATAACCTGAGCTGAGACTTGAACCTGAGCTGAGACTTGACCTACAAGGCCACTCCCCACCCTCACGAAGATCTAGAAGAATATTAAAGTCAGTTAACAGGCCCTAAATAGAGTTCGAGTCTCCATGACCTACAGGAACAGGCTAGAGTCCCAGGTAGGTGGCCAGATAATGTAATGTAGATCTTTTATGTAAGGAACTGGATTTTATTCTAAATAAGGGAAACCAGGAGTGATCTATAAGCAGATTCATTTAAAAGCTCTAGCTGCTCTGCAGTAAGTGACTTGGAGATGATGAAAGCGGAAGCTTGTGGGAAAACTGGAATTAAAAGTCTAGTGCCTGACTTCAAGAAGTGCTGAACTTACTGAACAAGCCTTATATGCCAGGTTGTTTTAAGCTCTGAATATAAACACAGTTTTTGCTTCCATGGGCCTCCAGACTAGTGAAAAGGGGTAAGAAGCTGCACATACGATGGTTCAGATAGGTCTTGGTTGCAAAGGCTGATAAGGATCCTGAAGGGCCTAGTCCAAGGCCCGTAGCCTGAGCGAGAATACTGTACTGCACTTACTGTATCCAAGTGAATGGGATGCCCGTGGGCCTCGAGCAAAAAAAGGCCGAGGACTTCCTCCCAACTCAGCGCTCAAGGAGACTCAGGTGAGGTAACACTAGTTGTCAAAACAGAAGGAAGCCCCGGCCACCCTCGCAGCGCCCACTCTAGCGTCGAAGGCGGAGAGCTTCCGGGGGCGGGGCCAGCCGCCCCCGCCTCTTCCTGCGCCTGCGCCTGTGCCGGAAATAAAGAGCTCCCGGCCGAGCAGGGGCATAGAATCGCCGGAACCCCGCGCTCCCGACTTTTGCTTCCGGGTCAGAGGCATGGCGGTGGCAAATTCAAGCCCTGTCAATCCCGTGGTATTCTTTGATGTCAGCATTGGCGGCCAGGTGAGGTCTTGGCAGCCAGCCAGCCCGATGCCAAAGGGAACGTGCACGCGGTCTGGCAGGCAGATCTCACCTCCTCAGGTGTAGCAAACTCGGGGAGCCAAAAAGTGAAATTGAACCAGCATCTACCGACCTGCGGGGCGGGGGTGAGGGAGGAGGAAGAGGAGGAGTCTTGCGCAGCCTAGCGCCGCGCTGGTGGAGGGACCGGGTGGAAAGGAAGAGTAGGCTATGGAGGCGGAGGTGGGACAGACCAAGCGGCATGGGGGCCCGAGGGTTCCCCGTTCGGTGAGGCCTTCGCGGGCTTGGACTGGGCTTTCTGAACGTCTCTCGCCGGTTGCAGGAAGTTGGTCGTATGAAGATTGAGCTCTTTGCAGACGTTGTGCCTAAGACGGCGGAGAATTTTAGGTAAGGAGATGTTCCAGCTTTGCAGGATAAACCAAACGAGAAAGCTGGGCCTGTCTGGAATCTTCTGCCTACCTCTATCCGTTCATTCACCGTCCTTGAGATCTGACTTCTCTGGGTATCGCTCTGAATAGTCTTGACTGTTCCCTTTTCAGTTTATGTTGTTAATCTGTATGCCTGGACGTCTGACCAGCCGATTGGTGGGCTGGCTAGCGCCGACGTCTCCCCTTCCCGCCGAGGTCAGGGGCGCTCAGAGTTGTGATGCCATGGCGACTGAATCGTTCACTCTTTTTCTTTTCAGGCAGTTCTGCACAGGAGAATTCAGGTCAGTCTCAGACATGGTTGATTTCTGTGCTTGCTCCTGAGGGGTGTCCTGAGTATGCAGTGAGGGTATTGGGGAATCACCGGCAGGCCTTGAATGATTGCTGGTGACGGTAATAGAAGGTATTACTATGGGTCTGTCCTCAGTTCATTTGCCTTCTTCGTCTCTCCTCCCGACCGTCTTTAGAAGAGTATCTTTGGCTCGACTGTGTGGTAAGCTTGAAAGGCCGTGTTTACCTGTTGTCATTTCAAGTCTCTTTCTTTTTGCTTATAGAAAAGATGGGGTTCCGATAGGATATAAGGGGAGCACCTTCCACAGGTAAGGCTTTTGGCAAGCCATCCTGGGGGACTTTTAGAATTAGTATTGTTTAGAATTACTTCCTTGGGTGATTAGTCTCTTCAGAGGAAAACAAAACCATAGCATAATTCTTAGTCCTTGAGAAGGGTTGTTTTTGTGAACTCAGCCATTGATTTGAAGACTGACTTACAACCAAAGTGATAAACATTATATTTTGAAATTAATGTTATTCCAAACCACAGAATCTTCTCCCAGGATCCTTTGTTCTCTGTTTCAGGGTAATAAAAGATTTCATGATTCAAGGTGGAGATTTTGTTAATGTAAGTATTATTCCTTTCCTATTAAGGACCTATAAGTTTTGTTGTTGTTGTTATTGTTGTTGTTATTGAAGCTGCTCCTCAGGGACCTGAGAACAATAGCCAAGTTTGCTGGGGGAGGAGGTGGGAATGGGAATGTCCTGTGGTGGTTGCTACTCACTGCATTACTAGATGACATCAGCACTTTGATTAAGTCACTGACTTCCAAATCTCAGCCTTTTAGGGCTGGGAACTGACTTTCCCAGCATACCTATAGGTGATCCATGACAGACCCAAATTAATTGGTCGCATGGAATTTAGCTGGAAATCAGTTACAGTTATTTTTTTCTAAATGGGGGCAAGTCCCTTTCCAGTGAGCTAAATGCTTATGTCCTGATTTCCCATCCGCTTCTGGTATCCCAGTGCCTGGAAAGGTGAGTTACTATTTTTTTAATCAAGTTCATTAGTGGGCAAGGCATCAGAGAGAGTTCTGGAAGGATATTTTCCCTATTCACTAGGAGAACCCATTGAATTAATCCTTCATTGCTAAGCATGACTTTTCTTGCATTGAGACTGTATGCATCTCCATTTCAAGCCTCCTTCACTTCCACCAACCTTGCAGGGTTCTGAATAAAACAAATTTATGCTTTCTGAAAGCTACGCTTGTCCTTACCCACCCATTTCTGTGCATGATATTTCTTATTAATATCATTTGGTTAGTCATGTTGCTGTTCTCTTGGATCTGGGAGACATTCTTTATCCTTTACATGTATATTTAGTTTGACTCTTAGGAGTTTTTTAAGATCTCTGTCTTTCCTCCCCAGATAAGTTTACAAAGTGGCAGATTTGGAGCTGAATCAGAAACAGATATGCTTTGTTTCATCTGTATAATGTTGTAAAACTGGGGAATTTTACTGGAAAGTTCTGGAGTTTTGTTTTCTTTGTTGCAAATGAAAAGTAGGGGTGCACTTGGCCTGTGTTTTTCATGCAGCACCAATTGGTTGAGTCAAGTAACAGCTGCCTTTAGACGGGTATGTCATTATTTCACCACAGTTCCCACTACTTGCTTCCCTTCTTTATGTCACCTACTCCTATAGGCTTTTAAATTTGCAACCCCTGGCCACAACTGATTGGAGTAGGGCTTGGGGTGACCATAATCCTTTTTTATTGACAGGTAAGAAGGGCTAAGATGCTATTGTCTGGGTTCTTTCTTTTCTTCCCAAAGGCTTCTATACTTCTTATGGGTCACATGTGCTCACTTGTGCCAGGCACATGTGCTCACTTGCTGATAGTTCTAGAGTTAGCAGTTAGTCAGCCAGAAGAAGGCTGTCAGAGAGAAGAAATTACTCAGAGCCACCCTTAGGGCAGAAAAAATAGAATGAGCAACAGGTAGAAGCGGAATTTGAGACCTTCTAAAGTTGGACTAAGAATATTTGCTTGCTTGTTTGTTTTATTTTTTTTTTCTTTTTTTTAATTGGTCTTGTTTGATCTCACAAGACCTCCAAAAATTGGCTGGTGAGGTAAAACTTCTTTCTTGGTTCTACTTCACTTAGTCTACACGGCAGCACCGGAGACTAGCGCAAGCAGAAGCAGGAAAGAGCATGCTGCCTGCTTGTTTGTTTTAATAATGTGTTTTAAAATTATTTTAATAATTTTTTTTCTGGTTGCAAAAGAAGAGTACAAAAATGAAAATAAATTGTCTCAAGGAATATACTCTTGGCATTTTACTTTACAGTTGCCCATCTTACTGTTGCATACATTTGTGTGTCAGATATCTTTTAAAAGACTTAAACTTTCAAAAATTTGTGCTCAATCATTGTGTTTTCCCTTGTCACTGTCTTCTTCCAAACCATTCTTGCTAATTACTCCCTACTGTTCCCTCAGTGAGCAGTATTTGTTTACTAATTTGTTCCCAGTGAATTTATTTGATCAGTCCACTATCATTGAAGATTTAAGTTGCTTTCTGTTTCTTGCCCTGCAAATTAATTTGGTCATTTTCCCTTTTCTGGCTTCTGGATCACAGTAGACAGTGTGATTATAGAGAATGATGCAATAACTGATCTTTTCTCTAGGTTTTTTTTGAAATTGGAAAGGGACATGTTTTCTCTTCCATCTATATGTATGTGTGTATTTATGTCTAGTTAAAGAAATCCCATGGACAGAGGAGCCTGGTGGGCTACATCCATGGGGTCAAAAGAGTCAGACATGACTTAGTGACTGAACAACAGTCACAACAAAGATACAATAGCTCACATTTACACAGAGCTATGTGGATCGCAAAAAGTTTTTCTCATAAACACTATTATTGCATCTTTTTGGCAATGTTGTAAGGAGTAGGTGATTTCATTTTCACTTGATAGTTGAGGAAACTGGGGCTCAGAGATAGGAAGTGACTTCCCCAGCTCATAAATGATAGATCTGGAACTCAAAGCTCGTTTTTCCACTATACAGAGCTTGGTTGTACCAATAACTTTTAATCAAACAGTTTGAGAGTTTTTTTCCTTCCCTGGCTTATGTTAATCCCCTTTAGTGGTCTTTGCTCCAGTAAGGGCCCTTGATTCTGCACTGAGTCAGTGTTTTCACATCCCATCATGTACCGAATATTCTTTTTGTTTACTGACTGGCTGGGAGAGATTGGTCTTTGGTAGTCTCTCAATATTAACTTTAAACCCCTGGGGTTCTGTTTAAGGTACTACAGGCAAAGCCTTGGTCGGGTGGCTTTATTATCCTGACTTAAGTTCGCTCACCTGGAAAATGGGGAAGATGAACTCCATGCATGTTCCATGGAGTTGTTAGAAGAGCAGAGGGATACCACAAATAGAGCTAGTTTAAGCAGAAATTGGGGATTTATGACAGGTGTTTCGTGGAAGCCAAAGGAAGAAATAGGTCTAGGAACTGGAGAGTCACAGAACCAGGCAGTCCTTTCTTTCTGTTTCTCTAGAGCTCTCTATACATGTGTATTACAGTGTCTTTTTCTTATCCAATCCACCTTGCTGAAGATAGTCACCTCCAACTTTCAGGTTTACACAGTACAAATTCAGCCTCCAGAGAGCATATATTCTATTTCATGCTTCCCAGAGAAGGAACTCTGGCCCTACATTCTCCCCTCAACTTTCCCTCACCTCAGCTTTAGCCAGAAGGATGGTATCTTGTCATACGGACTAGACTTCCAAGAGCCTACCCCCGTGCATAGTTGAGAGGAGAGGGGAAGTAGTCAGTTAAATGGATTCTCATATATGACTGCAGGCAAGAGAGTCTTTGGAAAGGGCTTTGATTACATATGTAATCACTGTTTCCTATCCTCTGCTTTGCTTGTATCTTAATCCACCTTTCTAGAGGCCTAGCTATGTGACCTGTTGTTTTTTTCTCAGTGAGGTGCCCAAGCCGAACTGTGGGCTGCACGTGCCTTGGATGGGGCTTGTTTTGATTACAGGATAGGGTTAAAGAGATGTGGCTCCCAAAGTGACCTGCAGGAATAAGAGAACCTTAAAGCAGCGAGGCTTCGGGTGCAGCAGCTGCTTCCTGTGAGCTCTGAGAGCCAACACTCACAAGTCACTAACAGTTCCTTCTCTCTGCTCAGGGAGATGGTACCGGAGTTGCCAGTATCTACCGGGGGCCATTCGCAGATGAAAATTTTAAGCTTAGACACTCGGCTCCAGGCCTTCTTTCCATGGTAAGTGAGGACCAGTCAATGTATGGAGCTAGGTTTGCAGCCAGCTGGATTCTGGGCCCTCTGGAGGCCCAGCGCAGTCTCTCGGGACAGAAGGAAATGCTTTCCTAGCCTTGCTTGACCCAGGACTCAGCTCTGCCCTGTACACCTCTTTCCTCAGTCTGGTTTGGTTTTGGGGGGCTGGACCCACTAGCCAGCCAGGGAACCAAAATCGAACTCTGTTGTGTGTTTTCTTATTTTGTGTGAGCCAGGACTTGTGGCTGGGCACTCAGCCTTGCTGCTTAGAATGCAGCCAGCTGTGCTGTCAAGACCCAGTGTTCACACACCCGTCACGCCGCTCACCCCTGACCCTCCCTCACATTGCCTGCTGGCTGGTCGCCCTGTTCAGGTCACACACCACTCCTTCTCACTCCCAGGACCCTCTCTGCCCATTTACAACCCCACTCAAACATCTCGCGCCTCTCTCTGTCCCCCTGCCCACCTCCTTTAGCCCCCCATCTACACATCCCTGCTTATTCCCACTTCACTGCTCCTTACTCACCCCTCACTCCTCATTTTCCCTTACCCCTCTCACCTTGCTTCCTTCTCACTGTCCAACCCTCTCCCTCCCTCTTGTCATCACCTATTTTCCTCTGTCAGTTCCCCAACTCTCACTCCCCCAGACCCACTGTTTACAAGCACATTCTCTGTCTGCTTGCCCATTCTTCCACTCATCCACTCAGGCATCCGTGGAGTAAAAATTGTTGACATCCACTGTTTTAGGCCTTGTGGTAAGGCCTGAGGATACAAACCTGATCCCTGCCCTCTAGGCGGGTAGCACACATGCTGAATGATGAGTCCAGTGTATAATTCCCACCATCAGTGTACTAAGGGGAGGTCACCTCAGTGTATGTAAGAGTACTATGAGGGCCCCAAAGAATGAGAGTAATTGCGGCGAAGATCCAGAGAAGTTCTCTACCAGATAAAACAGCCTAGACAGAAGATGTGTGACCAGAACATAGGTTGTGGATAGGGGAGGGAGTGAACTAGTAGAGACCACTGGAGAGACAGGCGGGTCTAGCTCCTGAAAGGCTCTAAATGCCAGAATAAGGATGAGGTTATGTAGACTTGATTTCATGGAATGTGGAAAGTCATACACTTTTTTGAACAGGGCTGATCAACTTTGTGTTTTAAAATGAAAATCCTGGCTGCAGTGTTTGAGTGGCAGATAAGAATGAAGAGGATAGGGCAGAGAAGCCAATTAGGAGGCTGCCATAACACTCTAGGTGAGCCTAGCATAACAGACAATGTACAGACCTCCTTTTAGAAAAGTCAGGCTGGGCAAGCACTGTACCGTGCCGAAGGGGCTTAGGTGGGCTTGGGTCATCGTCATGAGAATTGGAACCCCTCTAGGTGTGTGCCACTATTAAGCATCTGGGGAGGGGTCAGAAAGAAAGTGGAAGGAAACTTTGCTTTCTGCTGCCTTCAGGCTGACACTGATTGTGCTGTCACTCACTTTGTAGAACAATTGTCTTGTTCCTCAAGAGCAGAGACTGAGTTGCATTGATCTCCTAGTCTGACCACCTGATACGGAAAGGTGCTGAGCAGATACTGATGAATGACTGAAAGATAATCAGAATAAAGGCTAATGTTGAGCATATTCTCAACAGCGACTTGTTTGCATTAATTCATTTTAATCTTTAGCATCCCTTTGAGATAGTGCAAAAAACCTCTCTATGCAGAGAGGTTATGCAGCTAAACTAGATCACAGACAGTAGTGGGGCTGGGATTCAAGATAGATCATCTGGCTCCAGAGCTTGTTCTCTGAACCAGTAAGCTATTCTGCCTGGAAGACTGGATAAATGACAGACGAAAAACACATGTTGTATGACTGTTTTCCTGCCTGCCTACTGATAAATGTTTATACGTTGAGCAGTAAGGTAGGTAGATAGGAAAAACAAGAGGGAGGGAGGGAGGAAGAGAAGAAAAGAAGGAAGAAGTGGGACCACTGAGGAGTCTGCCCTCATTCCAGAGTTAGCTCTGTTCCCACTGGCTAAGGCAGTCCTTGCTAATGTGAGATGTTCCTGCATACATGAACAAAAACCAAAAATAGTCTCATCTCACATGGGGAATTTCTAAAATATAATGTGAAATCCCTTCTAGACAAAGTCTTTAATGTATTTTATACACATTTTCATTCCTTCAATGTTAAACACAGACTCAACTAATTTAAATCCACTAAACATCCAGTTAAGGCTAGTGACCTATCTGATGATTTCCAGTGTTGTTTCCATAGTATTACTTTTGTGAGACCTGTGCTTTGAATAGTACTAGCGCTTTCAGTTTTCCATTTTCTACTCAGTTTTCAAAACAAGGGAAGTATGCAGTGAAATATTCACATAGTTACACAGACGCTGTGGTAAGGTAGTGCTGCTGAAACATGACATGGGTTTGCTGATTGCTTTGTGTTGTCATTATATAATGCATTGTGAAGTGTGATGATACACAAGAGAGGAGAAGGAAAGGGATATGGCTGGAGAATTTCAGATCCTCAATTTTAAAAAATAATTCTTCCTGTAAAATTCAATAATAAAGGACTTGGGGTGTAGCTGTAAAAAGCACGTCGTTAATTAAACGGAATCTTTTTTCTAGCGTAGCACTAGTATGGCAACTTTTTGCACCTTAAATTTTTTTATTACCATTATCTGGGGACAGTACAGAGCCATTCAGACAAAAAACAGTTTACGGCACAAGTGACAGGCTTTTTGTGAGCTGGTAGTTAATTCGTTAAATGTGATCCAGTTATTACCAGTACTGGCCTAAATACAGCAGATCAGATTCCGTAAACAATTTTTTCCATTATAAAAATTCACACTGTAGGAGACGTGTAGTTATTGAAGGGTCTAGCTCTTTGAGGGCAGAAATTGTGTATTCTGTTCCTCTCTGTATCCTTGGGTCCTAGATCAGACCCTGGCTCACAGTCGATGCTCAGTCAGATTTGCTGAAATAGCACGGAGGAGTCAGGGCTACAGTCTCTTTCAGGGAGTTTGGCCCTTTAGCTAACATGGCCAGGAAAACTCACAGTGTGTCTGGTTTCCATCAGGCAAACAGCGGTCCCAGCACAAATGGCTGCCAGTTTTTCATCACCTGCTCTAAGTGTGATTGGCTAGATGGGAAGCACGTGGTGTTTGGTGAGTCCTGTTCCTGTCCTAGTCCAGGCCCCCTCACCCAGCGTGGAGCTTCTAAAGGAACTGGTCCCCCAGCTCTTGTGCTCGAAGGGTGTAACTGCCCTGGGTAGTAGTTAGGAAGGTGGAAGCCGTGGTGGGTGGGGAGGATATGTGGTTAGAGGGGATGACGAAAGGGCCAGATGATGCAGTGAGTAGCTACCCGGGCAGTGTGTCTGTGTAGGTGTAGGTGTGTCTGTGGGGGATGGCAGCATTAAGAAATACCACACAGGCAGCATGGTACAGTGGGGCTTCACAATTGCTCCGACCTAGGTATGAGCCCTAATTCTGTTCCTTACTACCTGTGACCTTGGGAAACATTTCATTTCCACTGAATATTAATTTTGTAATGTTAATCTGAGGTTCAAATAAGATAATGGCTGAGAATGGGCCGTGGGGGGCTGGAAGATACTATGCAAATGAGAGTAGTCAAGTCCAGCTCATACTCTTCCCACAGGAAAAATCATTGATGGACTTTTGGTGATGAGAAAGATTGAGGTGAGTCCTGTGGTGTTGATCTCCTCTGTTTCAGCCATTCTGGCCTCGTACTACCTGACTAGTATTGAGGAGCGGGAGAACCTGTTCGGCCAGGCTTCACAGGGAGGAGACACCGTGTGCCTCCGAAGGGTTCTGGGCCCTAAGTTAGCCTCTCTTCTGCGAACTGAGCTTTGGCCTCTGCTGACTCTTGCACCTACTTGATGCAGTCCTCCTCAGAGTTGTGTTCAAGGTTCTTCATGACTGAGTCCCTGCCTTCCTCTCAGTGACCTCTTTTGCCCCTTCTGCTGCTGCCACTTCGTGTTCTAGTCACATCAGACTACTAGCCCTTCCTTAAATACGCATGCACATCCCTGCCTCTTGCTCCTTCCTGCCCTGAGTCTTTGCTCATGCTGTTTCCTCTACTCTGTCTTACAACTTACTGCATTTTTATATGTCATGAGTGTGATGGGTTGTTTTGTTTTGTTTTGTTTTTTGAGATTGTACATTTTCTCTTTGATCTGTATTTCCTGTCAGATCAGCCCATGAGTCGTCAGTCCTTAGCACAGGGGCTGGGAGGCATCAGTAAGTGTGTGGTGAGGGGTGTCAGAGTGGCGGAATCACCACTGTGCTTTCTCTCCTAGAATGTTCCCACAGGCCCCAACAATAAACCCAAGCTGCCTGTGGTGATCTCACAGTGTGGGGAGATGTAGTCCAGAGGGAGACTGAATCAGGTAAGTGTGTCTTTCCTGATCAGGAGTCAGGATCCCAGAGAGGGCAGCATGGTCTGGTGGAAAGAACTTTAGACCTGAAGATGCGGGATTGAGCACATTTTCTGTCTGTGTGACCTAAAGAGTTGATTCCCTTCCCTGAGCCTGTTTTTCTCATCTGTCCAATGGTGATAATGCCTGTCTCCCAGGGTTACTGTAAGGATCAAAAGAGGAAGGTTGAGTGGGACACTTTATTTCTCTTAACACTTTATAGTTTACAAACTATCAACCTGAAAACCATCAGGCACTTTCTGACAGCACTGTTAGACACTTGTTTCATTCAGTAGTCCCACTTAGAAAGCCCTGGCTGCAGCCCTGGGTGATTGGGAGCAGCCTGGGCAGCCAGGAGGCTCTCTTTTCAAGCCTCTCATCAGAACTGACGCTGCAGTCCCAGGCCCTGACTTTGTGTTTGCCAGACTCAGAGGTGAATGTGACACGTTTCTCAGTCCACAAAGACTCACTTCCTACCCAGGCTTACTACTCACCCCCCAGTCTGTGCTGGACATTGGACATGGAGAATGGGAAAAAACATTGAAAGATGCCTCCACCTTTTAGGAACTTACGGGGAATAATAAAACATTCTCAGAAGTGATCACTAGTAATATGAGTGATGTTGTTAAGTGTTAGTATGAGTTCAAGAAAGAAATTGAGCACTTCCAGCTCGGTAAAGAATGGTAGTGCTCTGCCTTTCTTTCCTCTTTTTTTTCCTTAAATTTTCAAACCTGCAGGGTAATTGGAAGAATAGTACAATGAACACCTGTATACTTTTCCCCTAAATTTGCCAATATTTAGCATTCTTGTTTTAGCATTTTGCTGAGACTTTTGTCTTCTCCCCTCTCCTCCCATTCCCTCTTCCTCTCCTATTCCTCTTCTTTCCTTTCTTTCCCTTACTTCATTTCTTTCCCATCTGGAAGTTCAAGGACTTCTTGACACCTTACCCCTAAATACTTCAGCAAGTGACTGCTAAAAATAAGAACATCGTGCATAACCACAATAATATTGTCTGATATACAAGTTCAAACTTCCCCAGTTATCCACAAAGTAACTTTTCTAAGCTCTTAAAAAAAAGAAATCCAATCATGATTCACATATTTCGTTTGGTTATTTATTTTTAGTTAGGAAAGCAACACGTGAAAATTTTCACACAGAACAGCTAAAACCCCCCTTTTCCTTGACAGTTCGCCCCCCACCCCCATCTGCATCCCCATCCCACTGCTCTCAGAGGCAACTGCTATATCAGTCTGATTTATGTCCATAGGGCCTTTTCTTTGCCAATCTAATTTGGGGAGGTTTTGTTTTTTCCTAAATGGCATTATACTATTCAGTTGGCCAAAAAGTTTGTTCAGGTATGTCATATGATGTTACAGAAAAACCATACGAACTTTTGGGCCAACCCAATATTTGTTAATCATTTTATTTCCATTTGACATATGTCTGGAAGACTTTTCCTATATGATTCATGAAAAACTATGTAGTACTTAAAACAAAACTGATATGCAATATATTTGTAGCATATATCTGAATAATTACAAATTTTTACTTATACAATTAGACTTGAATTAAATGTACATTTCTGTGTCTTAGTTCTTATTTTTTATGTTGTGGCCATTTTGTCCCAAATATATGTTAAAAAAAATTGGCAGTAGCTTGCTTATTTTAACTTTGGTGATATCCTTTGTTAAAGAGAAGTTCTTAATTTTGAAGAGATCAGAATTTTTAATCTTTTCCCTTGTGTTGTGTTTTAATCTTGTTTAAGAAGGTCCTTACTACCTCAGTCATAATGCCTAATGTTTCTGTAGTTTTTCTTACAAAAGTATCTAGAATTTATTTTTCTGGATTCTGCCGTTTTTTCAAATGGAGATCTAGTCAAATACCAGAGCATCTTAATGACTGTGCATACCTCCATCTGTGACTTACTTTGTGTTCACAACATCTGGCACTTAAAGGCATTCAGTTAAAATTTATTACATCAGTTAATAGAGAGGGAGAATGTCAGGCATTTTGGGCATGGATCTGGTGTGAGCAAATGCCAGGGCAGGAATGCACAAGTGTGTGCTGAAAGCTCACATGGACCCTTGTCCAGCCAAACGCTTCCTTCTCAGGCCCAGTTGACACGCTGAACTGTCTTTTCTGCTGGTACTGGGGGCCCCAGGCTCAACCTGCCATCCCCATGCTCTCACTGCTCTTCATTCCCTCTCCCCCTCTTTTCTGGGCTGAACTAAAGTTGAACTCACTGGTCCTTTCCCTTCTAAAGACTGACCACTGATCACCACTGGAGGACAGATCATTAAAAACAGTAAAGTTTAGAAATCCCTTTATGTTTGTCGCCTTTTCTCTACATTTTTCTGAGTCCCTTACAAAAAGTTACTGGAAATCCATGTTAGGAGTTTGTCTTCTGAAGGTGGCAATCATGAACCCTCCTCTCCTCACTGCTATGAGCGAACGTCATGTAAACCTTTGCCTCTAGGAAAGCCCTTCTTTTCAGCCTATACAACCCCAAGCAGGACAAATCCCAGGGGTGCCCTTTGATGCTCCAGAGGTCCTCTACATCCATACTGTCCAGGAGGTATTCCTTCTGTGATGGTGGAAATGTTTTGCATCTGTGCTATATCCATTATGGCAGCTTCCAGCTACATGTGACCTTTGAGCATTGGAAATGGGGCTGCTGTGACTGAGGGACTCAACTTATATCTTTATGTAACTTTAATTAAATTTAAAGAGCCACATGTGATACCTTCAACATAGTTTTCTAACCTTGACTTGCCCAAAATTAAATCTTTCTTAGCTTATATTTAGAGACAATAGAGTAAAAGCCATTCTGTCACTTAGTGAATATTTCTGGTGCTCAAATTCTGAGCTAAGAACCTTACTTTAATTATCTCATTTAACTTTACCAAGCTGAAAACTCGTAGGTTTTAAGGTGTAGGGAATCTAAGTGGTAGTCTGACCTTAAGGCATTCCACAGATGGGGTCCTCACTTTGGGTTTCTGAGTAATGGATTTGGGAGAAAGTGAGGAAAAGAGGTGAGTAATTCCCCCAGGAGTATGGTTTCCTTCCATCATGTTTTCTCCCCAGCTGTAAAGTTACAAATATCTCTCAATTTCTAAAGGAGTATTTCAGATCCCTCAGGTAGTGTCTGGGCGGAGTAATGTTTCACAACCAGTATAGATGTTTTTAAGTCCTCCTAGGCAATATTTCTCAAACTTTAGTGCACATATGAGTCACCGGGAGGTCTTGTTACGGTGCTGGTTCTGACTCAGTTGGTCTGGATGGGACCTCAGGTTTTGCATTTCTGACCAGCTCTCAGGTGATGCTGACGCTGACCTGGAGTAGCAAGGCCACAGGGAAATAACAGCCTGTCTTTTAATTGTGAACTCACCATGTTCCAATCAGAAAAGACACAGGAGGAGATAATCTTTTGTTGCTATCAGTCCAGCAGGAATCTACTGCATTCAAATCAATAATTCACTTATCAGGCATTTGAGGCCTTGTGCCTAGGCACTGGAAATAGGGGGATGTAGGAGGGAGACAGAAGACAGGTGAAGTCACTCGATCAGCTGTACCTCCTCCGAAGCCCTTCCTTTCACAACTTTTGTGCTTTACCTTAGGTCCTGACCTAGGTTGTAGTGAAGATGAAGTTTTCTGTTAATATACAACTCTAGATGCAGAAACCTAGGTTTTATCTCAGTGGGTGCTTTGAAAGCTTTTTATTATGAATTTGTTTGAAACTGAAAGTTGCTCAGTCATGTCCGGCTCTTTGCAACCCCAGGGACTAAACAGTACTTGAAATTGTCCAGGCCAGAATACTGGAGTGGGTAGCCTTTCCCTTCTCTAGAGAATCTTCCCAACCCAGGGATTAAACCCAGGTCTTCCGCATTGCGGGCGGATTCCTTACCAGCTGAGCCACAAGAGAAGCCCAAGAATACTGGAGTGGGTAGCCTATCCCTTCTCCATCAGATCTTCCAGACCCAGGAATAGAACTGGGGTCTCCTGCATTGCAGGCGGATTCATTACCAACTGAGCAATCAGGGAAGTGTGAGTCTTATCTTCAGGGGAATTTGGGGACCAATGAATTTAAAGAAAGATCTCTACTCCTTGACAGCACCAGATCTGGGGATCACAGAGAGACTAGCAGGGCTGTCAGAGGGCACAGCCACTCTTTTCCAAGAGACTCTCAGGCTTTCAAAACAGGATTCTCCTGCTGTAGAGTGAACTGGGTTCTTGGCTACTTAGAGCCACATGGCGGAGGTGTGGGGGCGGTGGGACCTCTGTTTTGAAAGCCTGAGAGTCTCTTGGAAAAGAGTGGCTGTGCCCTCTGACAGCCCTGCTAGTCTCTCTGTGATCCCCAGATCTGGTGCTGTCAAGCAGTAGAGGTCTTTCTTTAAATTCATTGGTCCCCAAATTCCCCTGAAGATAAGAATCACATAGGAGCATTTGTTAAGCCTACTAATTCCCAGTTGCCCTCCCCCATCCCTCAAGAGTCTGAGTGAATTTGAGGTAGGATCCAGGACGCCATATTTGTTACAAGCATCTCAGAGGCTTCTTACCAGAGAAATGTGGGTAACCCTGTTTTAGGTGGTGCTGGATGAATGTTTTTTAATATTTGTCTTTTAGGAGAAAATATAATTTGCATAGCACATAATTTTACAGCTATCATAGCTTACAATGAGGTGTTATTCAAGTTCAAATAGTCAGTAGGTTAAAAACTAATTGCACCTGTGGATGGTGGCTATGATAAGAGATGTGACGCTGCTGTTGTGATGCCTGAGTTTAAGTCCTCCCAGGCAGTATTTCTCAAACTTGAGTGCACATCCCAACCTGGGATTTCCTGTAGGTTTGATACATTCCTGTAGAGGAAGATGCTGAAAGACACCTTGGCTAACCATTCATTTCACAACTAAGAACTAATAATTAAGATAGGCTCCACGCTGCAGATGAGGCTA